CGTTAAGATCTTAACATACTACATTGACGACAAGAAAATTTAACAATGAGTAATGACCATATTTTTTCAAAGTTTTGCAGAGTAGCTTTTCTAAAGATTTAAAAAAGTAACATCTTTTTCCTCTTAGAGTAAAACTATTATTTTTTATATTACTGCCTTTTTTGTCAATGTTTGCCAGCAAACTTAATATAAAAAGTTAGTTAAAATAAAGTAAATTCAGTTTTTTTACAGATCTTTGTAGTTAATGTAAAATGAATGACTATAATGAAGGGTATAAAACAAGGTGAAAGCTGAAAGGTATGTAATGAAGCCTTTATTAGATTGAGTTTGTAAATCCCAGAAATGAGTGGAAAATGCAAATCAAACCCAATTAAAACCAATAATTTGATATACATCATGATATTTTTCTAGGGGGGGGTAAAAAAATTTCTAGGGGGGGGTAAAAAAAATTTCGGCGCGCTTCGCGCGCAAAGTTCTAAATTTTTACCCCCCCCTACAAAATCCTTATATCCGCCCCTGGTCAACTTCATTAATTTGGGTTTTTTCCACAAACTCTGATTTCTGATTCCATCTTAGCAAGTGCAACCCAATGTCCATGAGGCCACTTATGTCAATTAATCTGCAATCAAAGGGAGTATTCGCGAAAATGAAAGGGGGTGTTGAAGTACCGCGAAAAATAAGCGCTTATGATCGCTACTAATCTTACTTTTATCTGTTGCGTCTGTAAGGAGAAAATTGTTAAAAACGAGTCGGAAAGTTGCAACATTCAACTCAGATCGTAAATAATCAATTTAATTCCAAACAAATCATTCAGATATTACAAACAATAGTCATCGATCGACGCATTCATATAAAGTTAATATTTCATAATATTTTTAATTTTTTTTTAATAATGAAAAGAAAAATTACAGGGATGGGGTTACCAAACAAACAAAAACAGCCAAAACTTAATACAGACTTTCAGGGGATCAAAAAATAATATGGCTGCACATCGTTAATTAAAATCAAATTTAAAAATGAAACAAGTTTTATATTATGTGTAGAGTAAACTACGACAATGTCACTGAGCTTGAATACTTGGATATGGTTTTATCTGAGAGTATGCGCGTATATCCCCCAATTCCGCTTCATATAGGTAAATATTGCTTCATTTTTTTCCGGGGAAAAATACGGACTCAAAAGGCTCTTTAAAATCCACGATCTGAAAATTAACTTCTGCTTATTTTAATTCTGTGTGCAGAGAGTCCCAATAAAATTGTACCTTTGATAAGTTTCCATAATTACGGAAATGCAATTTGAAAACTGGCATATTTGGAAAACTGGCATATTGGGAAAACTGGCATATTGGGAAAACTGGCATATTGGGAAAACTGGCATATTGGAAAACTGGCATATTGGAAAACTGGCATATTGGGAAAATTACTTTTATAACCTACTTAATAACTTGAAGCCTCATTCATTGCAGATAACCCTGTTTTAGAAAGCTCTCAACGAATATCTATCAAAAATTTATAATTTTTTAAAATTTATTTACGTTGTCATGTTAAGGTAGATGGGCAAGCCAAGAAAGAACTATTTGTGGGAAAACCATTCCTCAGGTATATACTCCTGGATTTATCAATCATTTTTTTAATATCCCTCATTAGACAATATAGTCCTTCTTTTTAATATTCTTGACTAGAAAATAGTCCTACTTTTATATATCCTTGATAGGTAAAAATCGTACGTTTTAATATCCCTGAAAATAGTCCTTCTTTTAAATATCCATAGAAAGTAGTCCTTCTTTTAAATATCCTTGATCAGAAAGTAGTCCTTCTTTTATATATCCTTGATTAGAAACTAGTCCTTCATTTTGATATCCTTGATCAAAACATATAGTACTGTACTTTTTAATATCCTTGACCAAAAAAATCCCACTTTTTAATATCCTTGATTGTTTAATACTCCTTTTTAACTTTGCTCAGAAAATAGTCCTATTTTTAAATATATTAAAAAATCCTTGATTAGAAAATAGTCCAATAATTGGCAATATCCCCTGATTGGTAATTAACCCTTTATTAACATCCTTGGAAAAAATAGTCCTATTTCTTATTCCTTTGAATTCAGAGTTCTAAAATTACGATTGTACATATATACTGGTTTTACATTGAACTTAAATATATATACAACTCATTTATTAGACCTTTTTATACCGGTGTCCGAAATTAATGAATTTGAGCCGCGTCTAAAATCCGCCAAAAACCGGTTTCAATTGAGCGTCGGCTTAAATCTTGAAATAATGAATATGGTTTTAAGTGGAACCAACCATATTTCAGCCGCGGCTTAAATTTACGCCGCTGCTCAAATTCTTTAAATTCGGCCTCTGGGCTTTCATATCTCCAGACCCCTTTAATCTTCTTGGAATTGAACATAAGTAAAGGAACTGTATTTTAAGCCCCCTAAATACATCAAAGAAGGGACCGGGATACACAATGTCGTCTTTGGCTGCATCTATTAATTGGGTCTAACTGTATAGGGAGCAGGAGTGCTGGCAGCAACATGGATTCTCCATCACCATCCAGGTCAAAAAGTACAAAGGAATGACTAAAAATTTCAAAGGAAAAGGCCAAAAAGTACTGAAAAAATCCAGCACACCTAGTTTAACTACGATCTACGGAGAAAAGCAAAAGTTTTTTAACTTTAAAGTTAAACATAAGTTAAATAAGATTTTTTCATCTTAGAACTTTGCCAATTTAACAATGTAAATTTTACTTATAGTTTTTTTCATGAAAGGAAAAAAATTAAATTGAATAGAAACACACGAGCTTAGATTTCCTTAACGTAGTTCAACAAGAGGTTTTTATAATGTCGTATTACATATCAAGATCAAATGCCGCGGAAAAATGAGATCAATTGCATTCATATTTCAGGGCTATTAATTTTTTGCCGCTGCATTTGATCTTAAATAGGTTGAGAATACGACATTATACAACACTCTTGCTATGTATTCATATATCTGGGATTTAGTGTAATTCCCGATGTTTATAAAATTTTGTTAATTTGAATCAAAGAACCAAAGATTAAAAAATCAAAGGAAAAGAAAGGATAAATCAAATGAAAAGAAAGGATAAATCAAATGAAAAGAAAGGATAAATCAAATGATATCATATAGAGAAACCAAATCAATTTATGCAACGAATCAAGCAAACTAAAAATTCTAACTAATATTGAATGAATCCATAAAAATATATAAATCTAGTGTAAATTCAATTAAACTATTAACATGTCAGGTGTCAAAAAAGAGAAAAATATATTGACAAGTTGAAACAATTACGTTTATAGCGTCTGACTCACAAGGATACCTTAAATCTGTGCCTGATTCACAACGATACCTTGAATCTGTGCCTGATTCACAAGGATACCTCGAATCTGTGCCTGATTCACGAAACCTTAAAACTCTGTCTGACTCACAACGATACCTTGAATCTGTGTCTAATTCACAACTATACCTTAAATCTGTGTCTGATTCACAAGGATACCTTGAATCTGTGTCTAATTCACAACTATACCTTAAATCTGTGTCTGATTCACAAGGATACCTTGAATCTGTGTCTGATTCACGAAACCTTAAAACTGCGTCTGATTCACAACGATACCTTGAATCTGTGTCTAATTCACAACTATACCTTAAATCTGTGTCTGATTCACAAGGATTCCTTAAATCTGTGTCTGATTCACAACGATACCTTAAATCTGTGCCTGATTCACAACGATACCTTAAATCTTTGTATGATTCACAACGATACCTTAAATCTGTGTCTGATTCACAACGATACCTTGAATCTGTGTCTGATTCACAACTATACCTTGAATCTGTGTCTGATTCACAAGGATACCTTAAATCTGTGTCTGATTCACAACGATACCTTAAATCTGTGTCTGAACATGATGAACGAGACTTGCTAGTTTTTCAACTTGACATCGATTATTTTTTATTGTGGTATCTCTAAAAAGTGACTTGCGGAATTATGCAGCATGCAGAGACGATGAAGGAAAACATATTTCAAGATACAAAAGGAGAATATTTTCCTCATTTTTTCTATTAAAAATCTTTAATAGAAAGACGAAATAATGAAAATTATTGAAAATAACTAAAAATATTAATATTTTAGGATTTTGGACGGATCCCTGGAAGTTTGATCCAGAAAGATTTTCTACGGAAAATAGGAAAAAAAAATATTTTTTTTTAATCCAAAGCTAATTATTATTTTAACACTTTTTCAAATGCACTCTACAGATTTATTTAGTTTTTTATCCTTTTTTCTTTATTTTAGGCATTACACTTTCTTCTGCTAAAGAATTTTTATCAAAACTTTTCCGAACCACTGAATAGGATAAATTGTATTTTAAGAAGTATTAATAAGTTTTTAAATTAGAATCATTGCTAAGGATTTTTAATTTCTAAGTTTTAACATTGTATAACATTGAAATTAATATAACAGGACACACTTTTTTTATTTTTTTATTTAAAATATTTCCCACCTAGAGATAAGATCATAGAGATGACGTATATGCCTTTTGGTGATGGCCCTAGGTAAACAATTTTCAATCATGATTTCCTCTGATCTACATTTTAATCCTGGTTCAAACTTCAAATGTTTTCTTTCCTGAGGCCGAATTAATACAAGTGAAAACAACCATGTTTGAACCCTGTCGATCTTATATTTGAACCGCGTTTAGACGCGACTCAAATTCTTAAAATGCTACCTCTGATTTATGACTTCATCTAAAGCTAAAACAACGACAAAAGTTTCGATCTTTATAGAGTGTTGTCGAAACAACAAAACAAGAAATCTTTAGCAAAGTTGCGTAATTCCAAATTTTTATGATTTACATAATTAGCAAGATATTTGTTGAAACTTTTATAAATTTTTCGACTCGCTCACAAATTAGTCAATAATAATTCGTGGAGAGGAAAAAATCCGAATCTTTTCTTGTTATCAATATCAAAACAACACGTCAAATTAAAGTAAATTTAACGTTACAGCGAAACCTAAAGATGAGCACGTGCAGCAGTTTTTTAATTCGTTCGACCATTGTTAGTCTTTTTCAGTTGTTCAAAAATTGAATTCTTTTGTTTCCAGAATTATCGTTCATTTTTCATCTATTTTCGTTCAATTAAATCGTTCGATCCGTGAGATGGTGATCGTTCAATAAAATCGTTCTTTCATTAAAAAAACGATCGTATTTTCAAAAACTCAGTAGAAAAAGTTATTCATTAACAGTAAAGTAAATCGAAAATAATTTACAAAGACGATCTCAAAGTCGTCACTTAATTCCAATGTTGAATTGTTGTGGCACTCATTTTTAACATTTTCTCGAGTATAATTGTATTTAAGGAATTGTATTGGGAGAAGGTTTGCTCTAATGGAAGCTAAGATGGCTCTAGTTGAAGTATTCAGGTATTCTGCCAGGAATAAAAAGAGCTCCACAAAGCTCCAGGAATTTTGGGAGCTCCACAAAGCTCAAGGAATAAAGGGATTGTTTGGATTTTGGGGGCTGGTAAAGATGACATTACGTGGGGCGGAAGGGGAAAGGTTAGGAGATATATTTATAGTCAATAATCCTGCTTTCCTGGAGTTACAAGAAACCACAACAAAATTAAAAACATTGATGTCTAGACAAATCTGAAAGTTAATCATCAAATTTTTGACAGCCACAACTTAAAAATGCCGCCTTTGGTTTTACCTCACAAACTCTTTTAAATTTTTGTGTACTATCTTTGTATGGATGGTCACTTGAAGTCACATGTACTGATCAGCCCCTTTAAATATAGAAGAAAATAAATTAAATATAAATTATATTTAGACAGTTTACTGTATCTGTATGTGAGTCTACTCCAAACCCTCTTCCTGTCAGAAACAAAGGGCTAACACTAGCTGTTGTGTAAGTTAAAGGGAATGTAGACGTAATCTTCTCTTAAATAATAAAACAAGACATTCGTATATATATATGCGTTCCATGGGCAACGCTGGGCCCCTCAGCTAGGTATTTGCCATTTTATTTAGCGCGCGCATGCCCCGTAAAATTCCAAAACAAAGAGAGTGGGATTGAATTTTGTAGATCCAGAAAAATAATATCTGGTGTACCTAACCTAACCTAACATAACCCTAAATAAATACTAATTTCTGGATCTACAAAATTCAATCCCCCTGACTCTGTTTTGGAATTATACGGGAAATGTGCGCGTAACATAAAATGGCAAATGCCCTTCAGCTAGTCTTCTATATAATAAAACAAGACATTTGTTTATTTATGTACAGTGTACACATACGTTGCGTATAGCCGGCCAAACGGCTGGACCGATTGAGCTGAAATTTTTTGTGGACACTCATGGGTGGCAGGGGGATCGTTCATAATTTTTTTCCACGGGTAACGGGCAAAATCCCTCCCCCCTCTAAAGTTAGGTAAGTTAAAATTATTTTCTCAATTGAGGAAAATAAATTATTTTTTTTGGTAAACACATCAATAAGTACAAAAAATTGGCTTTTGATTTCAACTTTTTCCCCAGACCATAAAAGTACAAATTCCAGATCCATTTTTTCTTCAGTCTGAATATTTTGGTTTATAGAGTTTTTGTCCAATCTCAGCTTAAATGTATATTTGATAAGAATTTTTTAAATTGAAATCTGTTTAGGGGAGATAAACTGCATCTTCGTGCTGAAAGGAGAGATTAAGAAGGAGACCCTGCTTCACATCTCAACTTAAAAGTCGTAGTTCATTTAATTTTTACACAGCTATTAATATTTTGCATTTTTAGTATTGTTATTATTCACATTTTTGTTTTTAACTAAATTAATAAATTTTTCTTCATATTAATATATCATCTGATATTTGAGTGAAGCAAATAAAAAATGTTAAAGTTTTAAAAATGTCAAGAATAAAACCGTCAGGCGATTTTTCATTTTTTGCAAGCTCGAGTTTAACAGTGGCGTTTCAGTCAAAATCATGAGCAACAGAATGACCTTAGCAAATGTAAGTAATTTCTTTAAAAAATAAAGCCAATGCCATTCAACACACAGTACAAATTTTGACCATTTTTCTTCCCTGTTTTTCGTTGTAAGAATTTGCAGCTGGCTTTCAGTTTGTTAGAATTTATTGACCAAACGATAATGGAACTAATCTAACCTGCCAGAAAAACGTTAAAAATATTTCCATTATGAATATCAAAGGAAAAATAAATACAACAAGCCCGTATTTAAATTTTAGATACCCAGGATATCTAAAGATATGTCAGCCAATTTAGTCCAGCCGTTTGGCCAGCTATACAAGTGAAGAGCTTTATTATATAGATATTAATACCAGTTTGGCCAGCTATACAAGTGAAGAGCTTTAGTATATAGATATAAATACCAGTTTGGCCAGCTATACAAGTGAAGAGCTTTATTGTTTAGATATAAATACTTCGAAGGCATCCTAAATTAGAATGACGAAACCATTTTCTTCAATACCAAATAGCTTTACATAGTGTCCCATCAATCCTTTGTGAAACTTTTAGCGTTTGTTACGAGCATATCTTGCCATCAATTAAGAAAAAAAACATTAATTTATATAAGATCTATATTAACAACTACATACAATTAGGGATATAATTTAGACAGAAATTTGAAATTGATGTGAACATTTAAATATATTTATTAACTAACTTTTAATCCAAAAATAAACATCCCATCAGAAATAATAAGCACTTAAACATTACTAATATTTCAAAAGAAAACCCCGCGAATACTAATAATATTTTATGAGAAAAAAACGGGCAAATTAATGATATTTATAGATAAAAAACGGGCAAATACCATCTGAACAAAGTTGTGTTGTATAAAGCACCTTATATCAAATAAGGCGTATCCCATATTTATGCATTTAAATCCTGGTTTCCCTGCAGTATCACTACGGAGTTTGACTAAAAACTGATTTGACTAAAACATGAAATGTTAAATATTTGTAAAATGAACAGGTCAAGGTAGTCTTGTGATCAGCGCTCTTTTTTTTCGTTTTTTTCAGATTTCTTAGAAAAGTTATCAATTTTAGTTGACGCATAATTTCATAGTTTTGGCAAGATCTAAATAAAATAGCGACAAACACCAAGCTGGCGATTGATGATCTTTTGGCATTAGATACATTAATACATATAGTTCAGATTTCAGAAGATAATAATATAAAAATATTTTCTTTTCAGATTATTAAAACAGCATTTGTTTGAGCAAAGATTGTTATCCTCCTGGGACATTTGAGACAAAAGTTTAAAAGAATAATTTTTATTCTAGTTTACTATTGACAGGGGGAGAGCAATCTTTTTTTTTATCATGACATTTATCAACGAATATATAAAAATATCCAATCCCCTGAAACAAAAAAAAATTCATCCAAAATTCATATGATATGGACTCTCTACAACACTGAAAAAAATTCCATAAAAATTTGAAAGAAATAATTGCCTAAATATTTTATAACGGTCATAAACAATAGGTAACGGTCAGAATTCAGTAAAGGTCGTCATTCCCCAAATCGTCCCCTAGTAGGGACTGCTTGTCTGATTTACCGGATTTCTTGGGACTATACACGCTGTTACTCCGATCCTTCGGGGCTCTGTTGGACGGCTCGAAACAAGGCTGCAAATAAAAAAAGAAATTAGTTAAACACTACATTACCAATACCCGAGATATCTTTTTTAACTACAAACTATTACTAAACAGTAAATAGCTACCAGACATTAGTTAAGTGGACAGGTTCGGATAGAACATTACATTCAATTCAACACTACTAATGGTCGGCAGCTCTGACTCTTCATGGCTCACAAATGGATCATCAAGAAACTGTTAACTCACAAAAATCCCAACATTTTTTGTCAGTCCTCATAATTCTATATTCCTGTCTCTTTTCTTTACTTTCCTAAAATGATCATTCTATGTTTAAGTGTCTCGTACACTTCATATGGAAAATTTGATATGAGAAAATCCAAAATCTAAAATAAAATATCAAGAATATAAAATTTCTTTATAACTTTTCCAGTTTTATGTAAAATGTAAATGAGCCAGTGATACCATAACACCAAGAAATCATCATTTTTTTTCAATTTACGATTTTTCAGATTATTTTTAGGAACGCAACGCAACAGAATTCCGCACAGTAGCGTGGAATTCCACGCAATGGAATTCCGATTGGAAACCCTAGTCTTGAGTGACCGTTCTGGAATGGAACCAAAGAATTAGAAAACCCTTTGTATATAACACTAACCGTATCACACATGGTCATGTTGCAACAGTTTTCTATATCAAGTTGAATACCATCCTCGGTAGGCAATCCTCCACCTCCTCCGCCACCTCCTCCGCCACAACCTCCGCCAACCTAGAACAGGGAGAAAACAAATTAATGGGACTGTTGACGAAATTTCAATGAATCCAAATTTAGAACTCCGGTTCACAACTATACCCGTAAACCCTTTTTCTGATTCAATTATGATTTATTCTTGTGTTTCTATCTTAAAATTGATTATTTTGTTTGTGGTTTTTTCCTTAAGAGAGAATAGCAAATTTAAGCTACAAAGACGGAAGAAATCTTTCTCATTGATGCTCAGATCAAGGTTGAAAGGTGCTATTGTGAATCGCACAGGTCACTCTAAAAATGGGGGGGGGGGAGACGTACAATTTAGTTAACATTTCCTTTAAGATCCTAAATTAAAGGACACTTTTACAAACATGTTTAAACAAGGATTGATTTTCAACATTGATTAGTTTAGCCACGGACGAAAAACAGGAACATTATAACTTTGTTAAGTTTTTACAAAAAGTATATTGCAGTTTCAGGGAAGATTATAAACAAAACTTTGTCCGAGTATAGTACCTGTTGAAATTTCTGTCGCAAACTGCAGTACAGTACAAGATGTTCACATTAACAAAGATATGAGAACTCCTGGTTTATTTTTCTTGGCTTAAACTATTTAAATTGATGTCGGAACAAAAAGAATCTTTCTTAAAATGTCGTCCTGTATTAGTACTACTCAGGGGGGATGACAGTTCTCTACCGGTGTGCTCAGTTAGCTGTACTGTACATTTACTGTACATTTACTACTATTGATATTCTATAGGTTAGGCCAGAATCAACTTATAATAAACAAATATGCAGTATGCTCTTGCTATAGTTTATGGCCTATAAAATTAGTAAAGGATTAGCGTACATCACCACTCTATACACTATAACCTCGTTGGTATTTAGATATATTAGATTTTACTTTTGCAAACGAAAATATTAATTAAATTTTACCTTGCGCTTTGAATTTGATGGCTTTGTCACAGATATGAACCTTTTCCTGACTATCCTAGGCTGCCTTTTGTACCTAAAATAAGATATAATAATAAAAATAAAAATATACACAGGGTGACACCCCCCCCCCTTTACCCACCACAAAAAAAGAATTCGAGTTTTTAAGTCCTTTAAAAAGGATAGAAAACATGCTTCCATATTTTTTAGTTAAGGAAAGGGTCAGGGAATAGGAATACTGGGAAAGGAAATGGCGCTGGTCTGGCATAAGGAAGCCAGTCGCACTGCTTTGCAGACGAGTTCGGTATTCCTTACACACACTCTTTTGGTATAGACACACAACATGACTACAGTCAAGGAAACCGCAGAACAATTTCGTCAATTATAATAAAACTTGAATAACGAGTAGTTTATTGTAAACTTTAATCAAATTATATTCTTTGCTTGAAAATTTGGCTTTATAGTTTTGACTTAAATAAGTAAATAATAAACTACATGTATATTAAACTTATTTTTAATTAAACAATTAACAATAAAAAATGTACTCTCATAGACTGTACTTTATATACCGACAATACACGCCTTCGGTTCGGTAAACTTTACACACACACTTTTGGTACAGACACACACACATGACGTTTCCGCCCCCTGTATTTTATGGACTAGAACACCATTATCCCGGTTTTTAGTTCACTTTGCATGCAAATGTTTAGAGAGATAAAACTTCAACAAAAACTTCCGATAGTCTTCTTGAGTATCACATGATAGATTGCTTATCCCTCTGGAAAACGATTTTGACACGGGAGGTCGTTTCCTAACAATAAAATAAGGCTAAAAGGTACGGACAATTGCGAGAAGACTGATGGGCCCAGACAATTGTACAAACAAAAGACTAATGGGCATGGGCAACCACACAACCTAAAGACTGATGGGCCCGGACAATCGTATAAACAAAAGACTAATTGGCCCAGCCAAGCGTACAAACTAAAGACTGATGGGCATGTACAACCACACAACCTAAAGACTGATGGGCGCGACAATTGTACAAACAAGACTAATGGGCATGGGCAACGACACAACCTAATGTCCGATGGGAACGGACAATCGTACAAACTAAAGACTAATGGTAGAGGCAACCACACAACCTAAAGACTGATGGGAACGGACAATCGTATAAACAAAAGACTTATTGGCCCAGACAATCGTACAAACTAAAGACTAATGGGCATGGGCAACCACACAACCTAAATACTGATGGGAACGGACAATCGTACAAACTAAAGACTTATTGGCCCAGACAATCGTACAAACTAAAGACTGATGGGCATGTGCAACCACACAACCACACAACCTAAAGACTGATGGGAACGGACAATCGTACAACCTAAGGACTAATTGTGCCAGACAATCGTACAAACTAAAGACTGATGGACACGGACAACCGCACAAACTAAAGACTGATGGGAACGGACAATCGTACAACCTAAGGACTAATGGTACGGGCAACGCAGGGTATCTCTGCTTTTAACTGATAATAAATATATTAATTTGGAATAAAAACCTGATGAAAGCTGCGGCTAGAACTACGATGACAATTAACTGTAGGGTGACGAGGATTGGAAGGATGAGGATGAGATAATTCATGATATGAACAGGAAGATATCCTTCGGTAACATCAGGAGAGATCTCACACCTAGTTTAACAAAACCCAGTCATTTCAGAACAGAATTTTCAGGGGTCGGTTAAATATTTAAATAGACTTATAGCGAGTAGACAGGTGTAGAGCGTATGCGTAATTTCAGGGGTCGGTTAAATATTTAAATAGACTTATAGCGAGTAGACAGGTGTAGACTGTAGAGCGTATGCGTAATTTCAGGGGTCGGTTAAATATTAAAATAGACTTATAGCGAGTAGACAGGTTAGAGCGTATGCGTAATTTCAAATGACTCTCCATTTGAAGAGTTGTATGTCCGATTCACAACAATACTCTTTAAACCTTTATCTGGTCAATTATGTGATGTTGTTAAATTTTCACAATTTTCTGTATTGTTTCTGCATTAAGAAATGTACTTTTATACAGAAACCACAAATAAAAATAACAATGTTTTGAAGAGAAAGATTATGGATAACTCATTTGTTCTTGGTCAGACCAAGCTTATAAGGGAACCGTTACGTTCCTTGAAGTAAAAACAGAAATCAAATTTCTCAACAATATAAATACATGTTTTGTTTACTAGATTCTACTAGATTATGATAAATACATGTTTTGTTTACTAGATCCTACTAGATTATGATAGAGAAAATATTTTAGACAAGGGGTTGGGAAAAATGTATGGCTTGTAGATCATTATTATTATTATTATAAGACATTAAAAATGATTAGACAGAACGGGTTTTGTTTCCCTGTCTCCGGAGTATCCAGGTATACAGAAACAAACAGAGTTTCCTTCTACCACCTCGCACTCTCCATAGAGGCAGTAGTTCTCACACACAGAAACCTTCATAACAACATTACAAATCAATTCTAAGAATAAAAAAATTGAACTGATAATATCTTGAGCTATAGCATTTTAAAATGGACATATTTTATTATTTATATCTTTCTTCTGTAATGGCAAAATTTCGACTAAGAATAATTTCAAGTTTGTTATTTTTGTAGTTATTTTAAGAATGAAAGTTTAAAAACATTAATTTTATTTTTTTGTTTATGTCTGGTGTGTACCATCATATTTTATTTATCGATACAACACTCAAATCTTAATAAAGATGGGAATACTGGTACGAGCTTGCCACCTCTTAATTCCTATAAAAACCTGTTCCGCAAGACTTTCAACTAAACTGTGATAAATGTGATTTGTATTTTTGCCTGGCAGTATTTCCCTCTCCATCCTTCATTGCACTGACAAGCTTGACTTTCATCTAGTTCATCTAGTACTCCTTCTAAGCAGAACCTAAAAACTTCATATTAATCATCATAACAGATGGATTTTCAATATCATCTCAAATACTTTAAATGCAACAATACAAAGTTAAATCTAGTCTTTCACATTGTACATTTTACATATGGGCTAAAAACATGGAAACAAAAGAAAAAGATAAGAGGCCTCGTTCTCATGACAATGCTTAAAAAAACAAATCTCTACGTTAACTAATTAAAGATATTATTAAAACCTTCCTAATCTCAGAAAAGTTCATAAAATTTTCGTATGAAAATAAGCGAAAATAATGAACATTTTCGTTTGTAAAAAATTTAGTAAATCTTGTAAAAGGTTTCATAACATCGATCCAAAGTCATGTCAAAATCGAAAAACCTTGTCGTTATTTACAGATTGTTTTTTAAAGAAAGAAGATTATTTTTGGGAGTTCTGAGCAAAATACTACTTATACAAATCATGTTTGGGAATTCTAAGCAAAATATTACAGTGAATCCAAGATATATGAATACATAGACCGTCATAAGTTTTTTAATAATTCTAAAGAAAATTCTTTTCATTTTTTATTCAAGGTGAATTCATAGCCCTGAAATATGAATGCAATTGATTTATTAATATTCAACTAATTTTTCCGCGGCATTTGATCTTGAATATGTAATACGACATTATAAAAACTCTTGTATTCATTTATCTGGGATTCACTGTACTTAAACAATTTATGTTTGGGAATTCTAAGCAAAATACTGATTATAAAAATTATGTTTGGGAGTTCTAAGCAAAATACTGATTATAAAAATTATGTTTAAGAGTTCTAAGCAAAATACTGCTTATAAAAATTATGTTTGGGAGTTCTAAGCAAAATACTGCTAATAAAAATTATGTTTGGGAATTCTAAGCAAAATACTGATTATAAAAATTATGGTTGGGAGTTCTAAGCAAAATGCTGCTTATAAAAATTATGTTTGGGAATTCTAAGCAAAATACTGATATAAAAATTATGTTTGGGAGTTGAAGTTCTAAGCAAAATACTGCTTATACAAATTATGTTTGGGAATTCTAAGCAAAATACTGCTTATAAAAATTATGTTTGGGAATTCTAAGCAAAATACTGCTTACAATAAAAGGGCTAATTTTAGGCTTACCATATTCTATGAAATACTTACATATTGGACCCATTAGCTTGACTGGCTTGAATGGAGTATGAATCCATATATGCTGGGTGAACAGAAACCTCAGTCTGATATTCAAGCTCAGGAATCTCAGTGGAAGACGACTCGGCATAGAAAGGCAGTGTTGTTGCGGCATCGCGATCACATTTTATTTGGTTTGGAACATAAACAATTCCACTAGGTTTGGACAGACCGTACGCTTTAACAAGCTCCGCACTAAAAAAAGATATATAAAAAGTTATCAACATTTAAAAGTTATAACTTAAATTATAATAAAATAACACTTTTCTAAAACAAAACATAATTCCACATTTTCCTAAAGTTCAAGATACGTTGATTGCAGTTTGGACTATTTAAATTGTTTTTTGGAAAGATTGTTTAAGTCGTGTCTTAATGAATCGTATTTTTCAATCAAAACTAGAACTAATTGATTTAAAAAGTAAGATCATCAGCATGATTAGGAATATTAAAACCTGTGATCTGCATGTTTATGAATTCTCCAGGTGGAACGTTTAGCCCAGTCTGACCAGCTTATCCAGGTCTCACTGACACCAAGAGAAAAGGGTTCTCCACCCAGTCCCTCGACAACTAGAACACGCCCACTTCCATTCAGATTAGATCTCCAGATTGAGAACTTGTTTCTTGCCTAGAAAAAAAGTACATATTCCATTTATTAGACAATTATTTAAAGTAAATTACTTGACAGTAATATCCGAGACAAAAATGGTGGGAGCCAGTGCTTATTTTGCCTGTACACTAATTTAATGACTAAGGAACAGGATATGAAGTCAAGTCTTCCATATCTCCGCGGTCGGAGTATAGCTATGTAGTATCTGGCAACTCCAACAGCTCCGATATTTTTTATCTCCTCTGGACCTATTAGACTTTCAGAGCTTAAATTCAAAACTCCCACACCTAAGGAATCATATAAATTAATAACAAAAAAATGTTTCTCTCATTCCAGATATATTATTGTCACATTGTTCATTTATAAAACTGCCCCCTTGCAACTTCTTGACTTCATCAGAATTTGAGTACTGGTAAAAAATCAGCGCTTCCTGGATCAGCCGGATCTTCAATAATATGTTGATTCACGGATCAGGATCCACGTGTCAAAATATCAACAAAAAAAACTGAGAAAAAACTCTTTTGCTTTTAACTCAAGTCTGAACTGTTGAATAAAGAGAGATTATCAAAAATTTCCTTTTCTCTGGTTAAACTTAAGTATAAAAATAAGCAAAAAAAGAGGAAAAAAGGCTTTTATTTTTTTTTGTTAAAAAATCAGTAGATCTTAAAGAAATAGAAATGACCTGGATCGGATCCATTTATTTTCCAGTGGGAATCCAGGATCCCGATCCGCATCAAAATCATTTGGATCCTCAGCACTATGAAAATGGTTTACACCACCAAGAACAAGACCATTTACCTCATCTGTCCAGTAAAGATGACCGGCCTCGTAATCCACAGCTACTCCTCGGGGTCGGGTCAGGTTCCCAGATATCAACACTCTAGACATGGAGCAAATTGTAAATTGAGCAAATAACGTGATAGAGCAAACGTCGTGGTCAATAAGGGTTTTATAGCAAATGGTCAAACGAGTGAATGACGCCAGAGCCAATAAAGCAATGTCGTAGCGCCAAACATTGCGTTTGAATATATCAAATTGAAAACTTCTGGCGTTTGTCTTCTTATACCAATTAAATGTTTTCTTGACGATTTTCCCATTTCTCCATTTACACATGTTCACTATTCTCAGAATCAACTCCCCCTCCTACACAAAAAAATACAATTTTAAAACCTATCAAAATAATACAAAATTTATCCTTACTAGCCTCTTCTAAATTAATTGTGAACATGTTCTCTTTGTGTACATCGTAAAACAAAACAAAAATAATTTGCGGATTTTCACAAAAAATTTCGCGGATTTTCAAAATTTTCAAAAATTTAATGAAGATCGAATTTTGATGGAGACAAATATTTGAAATTTTGATCATTCATAAACCTTCCCTGTGGTCACGTGATGTCCCACACAAAATTTGGGCCCGATCGGTTCAGTCGTTTTGACGTTTATTGGATACAAACAGACAAACAAACAAACAGACAGACAAGCCAAATTTATATATAGATTGTCTTTAGATCATTAAGCCAAAAATGAAAATTAAATGCTATGAAAGTTTAGCGAAGCGCCCTGATGTCGTTTTCTTTCTTTAAACATTTTATAAGTGTTTTGAAACTTATGTAATAATTAAATAAATACTGCAAACAAATGCTGATAAAATCAATTGAAATATGTTAAGTCAGCTTTAAATATGAAACCTCATTCATGCAGTCTAGTCTGATTATACAGAAGTTCAGGTTGAAGGTTAGAGCACCGAAGAAGGTTTAATGTGGATGTTGATTAATTATAACAATGATAATGATCCCAATCTACATTATTTCACAAAAAGCGTTTAAAATTCGAATAAAAAACTTCTTGCTTAAGAAATCAAACAAGAGCATGATTTAATTATTTCAAGTTGTAAAAAATCATTTGAGAGAACAAACAAAAGTCTTTACCTCAACTTTTTACTCCCACTTGTAGACTTTAACGTGTAAATAGTCGTTTCAGACATCGACTTTCATCTGAGATTTTATATCATTTATGGACGAGATTTTTCAAGATGACTTTTTAGTCGAGAAAAATTCGACTTTGTTCCAAGTTTAAAACTTAGATGAAAAACTTGACTTTTATGACTTTTTGTTCCAAGTTTGTGACTAGTTCAAAACTGTGATGAAATACTTTTTACGACTTACAAGTCGACTTTTTCTTAACAAATCTTTAACTAGTATTCTAGACGAGTTCTGTTTGCTGGGATTAGTCAAAATCCTACCTTGATTCTATTTTAGAATAATCGGCTCCACCCACTTTAACACTCTCAGACCACGCCTCTAAGGTTGCTGAACCACGTTGTGTGTTACTCCAGAATATGGTGCTAAAACAGAGTTATTTAAAGGGATCGTTCACTAAAACAGAATTATTTAAAGGGATTACACTAAAACAGAATTATTTAAAGGGATCGTTCACTAAAACAGAATTATTTAAAAGGATCGTTCACTAAAACAGAACTGTTTAAATGGATTATTCACTAAATCAGAAAAATTTTTAAAGGGTATGTTCACTAAAACAGAATTATCTAAAGGGAATTGTTCACTAACAAGAATTATTTAAAGGGATTGCACTGAAACAGAATTATTTAAAGGGATCGTTCCCTTATACAGAATTATTTAAAGGGATTGTTCAGAAAAAAGAAAATTAATTAAAGGAATTATTCCCTAACAGAGTTATTTAAAGGGAGTGTTTACTAAAAACTGAAAATTAATTAAGGGATTGTAGGAATTGTAAGGCGAGATTTAAGTGATAAATCTGCTGGAATAAAAATTAACTGAAAATTGAAAACATTTCCCAAAATGTTTTGTGTAACGGGCAACAAAGGATATAAGCACTTTTATAAACTATTGTTATGTTACGGGCCTAATGCTTTGGGATGACATTGAATAAAAAAGTTCAATAATAGTTAAAGCTTTGTTGCATTGGTTGTTGATTATAAAACCATGTTGATTATAGAACCATGTTCATTACAGAACCATGTGAATTTCAAACTTATAAATTAATTGATTTTTTTTATTTCCCCATCATCTCAAGAAAATCAGACGATTTAAACATTTTTGGTGATAATCAAAGCAAAAACATGTTCTGTTAAAGATTAACATTTTTTTAAATTCAAACAGTTGAAAAGAATTTAAAACTGATAAATAACCAAATCTAAAAACTCTTGCGGCAATCATTGCCAAATGACATGATTGCAATCAGATTGCAGATAAATTATGCAACTTTTCGCCTAAAGTTAGATTTAGGCAGAAATAAATAACCTCAATTATGCAAGGAAAGTACGCAGTATTTGGCATATACCCTGGAGGCCCCATTACAAATAAATTGTCAATGTAAGAATTCAAAAATCGAAAAAGATGTCGAACATGATATTTTCAAGATGCTATCTAAATATGAGATGATTCCATCAAACTTGTGTGTAATATGAAGCCAATATCCATTTACATTTTGGTTAACAACCTTTTTTAGATCAACGAAAAGACAATTGGCAGAAAGATTTCCAATCTTTTAAATAACAAACTAAATATCTTATTCCCATCTTTATGCAATAAAAAAATGCATTAGAATTCAGGACAAAAACCCGCAAAAATACCTTGTTGTGCAATGTGCAAAATTACAAATCAGGGATGTATAGTGTACACTGTACAGTACGGTAAGAGGCTTATTGGGTTTCAGGCCACGGGCAGCCGTAGTACATTTGAATTTCCTAGCCGGGTCAACCTTTCCGGTCCTAATTTGTACTGTAATAATAATAAGGGTAGAAGGAACCTGTACCTAGCTCTATGGATAGGACTAGAGGGTGCAACAAGGTTGACGCGGTCAGACTTTATGCTTCATATAGGTTGAATTTACTTTTACCAAAGGGACAGATTTGCATGAGGCTGCGTTCAATATTCGCAAGTATGTTTTTCTAAGGGGTTTTAATCGCTGAATCAGAGAAAATATATGATTTTAATCAATCCCCCCCCCCACTGACCAAGAAAAAAATTTATCCAGATGTTTGTATGTTTTATTCTCTCTCATGGTGTATTTGCTAAATGGGGTAAAATACCAAAAAAGGAATTGAGTCTTGGCAACAAACTCTGATTTTCTAATCCCTAAATCTTTGCAACCCAATGTCATAAACCTTTGATATTTCAAACTTAAATTATTTAATCCAACAGAATTCATAGTTTCGACATATTTAAGGTCAACGCCATTTGGTCGCAAAGATATTTGGTTTAGACAACCAGAGTTTGTGGCAAAGATATGGGATTAGACAACCAGAGTTTGTGGCAAAGATATGGGATTAGACATAGACAACCAGAGTTTGTGGCAAAGGCTCAATTCTGTTTCTAATGCCTTTCACCAAAGGGTGTTGATATNCCCCAACAAGAACTTAGCATTTCACTGACTTACTTGGTACAGTAGTCTATAGCTAGTCCTGATGGTTTCTTTTCTTGATCTTGGTAAACTACACTGCTCTCACCCCTCTCATCAATCCTGAACTAACAAATAAAGGGGGACTGTCGTTGGGCATGTCTTTTTCACAACGACGGTACCCTTGAAGCATGTATCTGATTAATAATGTGGAAGAAAAAGTCGTTGCTCTAGTTTGAAAAGATTTAATTTCTGATTTTCCTTACATATGCATTATCCCGTAGCTCATCTGTACAAGTCACTTTTTTAGAGAAACCTCAATTGAAAATAATCAGTTTTATAAGTCATAAACATTGATATCTAACTCATACTTGATCAGACAGAGCTTTTAACGGCCAGGAGCGTACGAAGGAGGGGGGGCACCCATATAAAAATACTTTAAAATCTCACTTTTGCCTTTAAATGAAAAAGTTTCATTAAACAAGCTTTAATAAATACTGCCTTCAGTGTAAATATATCTTTGATATTATTATTTATAATTATACAATATGTATCGTTTCTATGAAAAAATGGATATTTTTTAAGAAACGTTTCCATCTCTGTTTTTCACCCATAGCTTACACCACTGTATTAAGAGAAAGTGTCTGATGAGTCCACTTCCGAAAATTACATAAATAATTTATTAACACTTGTTATATGGAAGTGTGTATATGATCGAATAGTGTACATTATTGATACCGTAGGTATCAATATTTTTTTTTAAATGAGTTTTAAAGAAGGGCATAAAAAATTGTTTGTGCCCCCCCCCCCCCAAACACAAATGCTCTCGTATGCCCCTGTTAACCGCTACATTGTGACTGGAACAACCCACTTAAAAAAGGAAGGGTTACTTGAAATTAAACCAACATACCCTTTAAAAAATTCAAAATGACAAATTATTCAAAAGAACTTTAATTTTAATTTAAGTTTTTGACGAATACACAGTTTTCTACAAATATATATAATATATATATAATCTACAATTTTAAATGACATTACGAGGTTTAGATAAATAAATGCATAGAAAACTAATTTAAAACTGGTTATTTTTTCATTAGATTCTCTGAACGTGATATTCCCCAAAATAGTTATTTACCCTTAGTATTTATGTACTATGTATTGTTGCTAAAAACAATTATGTAAACATTTATGTCTTCTTCAGGGTATACTTTTTTTTGGAAAACTTGCAGAAATTATTTTTTTTAATTAATTAGCATTTTTTTTAAATTATGCAGAAATTATTTAGGAAAAAATTGGCATTTTTTTAAAATCTTGCAGAAATTATTAATTAATTGGCATTTTTATTAAAAACTTGCTGAAATTATTTTTGAAATAAATCGGCATTTTATTGTAAACTGAAAATTTCACCTGATAATTGAGTGGGTGGAGGGTGAAGTGAGGTAAATACTACGGGATTTAGGAGAGTATACAACACTTTCAAAATAAGTAGCAGAAATATCTGGAAAATAAAAAAATATAATATTTGTAGACTAAAAAAAATGTCATAATACAATGCCTAGCCGGTTTAATACCTTCGTAAAGTTTGGTTATATTCTCATCCTCAATCTTGAACAATGCCGCGCCATTCTTTCCAACATCCGTCGCAAGGAAGACGATCCCCCCGCCATCTTGTTTCCGGTAGCCATGGATCCCAGTGAGAAAGTTAGCGCTGGGAACTGTTAGATCTGTTTCCGGTCCTTCTAAATGGTTCGAAACAGCCACCCACACATCTAGGTACAGATAAGTTTATAAAAATCGAAACTTTTGGTTTGGATATACGCTACGCTACAACGACTTAACTCGATATTCACAACATGATACTTTTCAATGAAAAAAACAAATCTGTCCGTTTCTATGCTTTTATAATCCCGACTTCTGATCAGTGCATGTAATCAAATTAGCTCATCTTGGTTGAATCTCCGACCCTTATAAAGAGGTTTCTACGGAATTAACTTAATCCATTGAACAAAAAAGAAACGGATTAGTGTTGTATAACGCTATTAATTGTAAAAATATTCCGGCCTTAGATGAATTGATACAGATCAAGTGAGAAACGTTTTTTATACATTTTCTAATTGGAGAGTCTCCAAACTGGAGCTGTCCTGGGCAGATCGCCTAGAATAAGTCTTCTCCCTAGGGTGTAAACCCCGTGGATACGTTGTTTCGACGGTTAGGAGCGCCGACCCCTATTTCATTGAATGATGGGTTGTCCTTTAATAATAATAATAATAATAATTTATGTATTTTTGAAATGAATAAATTTTTAAGAAATATTCCTTTTATTCGCTTTTTTATGCTAACCTTGATGAACCATTTAGAGATTATAATTTTTTTTCTTTCAAGTAAGATGTTTTTCACAGGTTACGTTGATAATTTTCCCCCTTGGGATCGAGATCCGCGAATCTGCAAATTTTTGCAGTTCCGGAGTCAAAATGTTGCGAATCCAATAGATCCGAATCCTCCGCAAAATTGTATTTATAAGGAAAATAACCATTGCCTGAGGCATTTCGTCTGTATGTGCACAGGCGCGCAAGTGGGGGGGGCCAGGCCCCCCCTAGCCCGATTAAGGGGGGGCATGCCCCTCACTTATGAAGTCTTGCCCCCCCCCTGTAGGGGTGGGCAAGAAGTGACGAAGTCCACCCTGATTTGCAATTTAGCGATTCATGAATCCTGACCCTGAGCAAATTTAAGAGCTCTTATCGTAAAATAAAAAAAAAGATAATTGAACGTTAGTTTATTGAGCTTATAGTTCAATCGATATAGCACTTAATACACCATATACACACACACAGTCCCCCTTCGTCTCCGAACCTAACTACTGCCGTAGATCAGAACAGGTTGACAAGGTTTCAAGGTGCCTTAATCTTTGTTGTTTTCATTATTCTGTTTTTTTCCTGGGAAAGGGAAAGGGGGTTTATTAAGTATTTTTTAGATATTTTCACTATCAGTTCTGCCACTTAAAACTAATTCTGAAAGCGTATCCACCCCCAAATCAGGAGTTTTGAACGTCGAATTTGCGCTCAAACTCAGGATTTACAGACTTTTAAAAAGTAAAATATGTCTCAAATGAATCCTAAAGAAGTTTTCCACGACGCTGCGTCCTCAGTTCAACTACCTTACATAGCAGGTCACTCCCTTTAAAGTTGATTAGACGTTTTAAATCTAAAATACTCGGAAATCCGACTTTTTCCTGCCTTTACAATTCATAATTTTGTCTTTATGCTTTTATCTTACCATTAGCCTGGGATTTCCCTATGGAAAGGAAGATGGGTAACAACATTAACCTCGATATTAAGGACATATTTTTGAACATTATTTTGCAGAATTAGTCATTTAAAGTATGAGGGTCCAGACCCCCCTCCCCCCCAACCCCTCAAAATATTTGGTAAAATAGCTCAAGTTCCTCCCCCCATGTTTCCCGCATGGTTCATTTGTTTGATAACATAAGTTAAATTAACGTAAAACCCACTTAAAAACTAACATAAGGAACCCGTATTAAAACATAAAATTTTTAAAAGTTGAAAAATCGAAATTTGCAATTTAGTTTAACAATAAGTCCTCACACTAAAAATATCATATCAAACAAAAATTGAATATTCTTCAGATTTAATTGTTTAATGTATCGATACTATTCAAGAACTGCAGAAATTAAGAGAATCTATGCATTTTACGATTACAGAGGCCTCATAGTATCTTAACTGCGCCAGTTCTGCCGGTCATATCTAATTGCATCTTGTACAAAAGTTGAGTAAACCAAATTGGAAGAATCAAAAATGTCTCGAAAGTAAATATTGTTTCAATTTCTATTATAACTTTGATGCTATTTTTTTTATCGTAAGTCGCGGATTTATATGTTTAAGTTGGAGCACTTTTTAACGTAATAAATGTCATATTTTTATCTGGGTAAATTTTCTTATCTTTAATCCTTAAACATTTCTTGGGGTCATGCGAGTTGCCACAAAAATTTGAACCCGACGATTATTGAATTTGAATTTTTGATTGAAAATTTGTTATTTTATATTATGCAATATAAAAGAAAACTAACTTTATTCTAATTAGGAATGAGGTAATGGAAGAGTCAAATATATATGAGCAGGCAATGATGGTATTTTTTTTTAATTAAAATCTTGATTAATTTCGCTGCTTGAAACTTTATGTTTCATTTTTCTTCCTCAAAATTCATAAACTATAAAAATTTACATAAATAAATCTCTAAGTCGTTATATTGTAACAATTTAATTTATTTTATTGAGCCACCAGATTTATAGTATTAGTTAATTTGCAAAAGTTTGAGGTTAAAAAATACGCATTTAATAAAAATCGTAATTATATAAACAAGCTCCAATTATGGAGTGACATGTCCGATTCACATCGGTAAACGTTGATCCATTTTCTGACTAAGAATAATTCTAGCCATGCGCGCAACTAGACATTCAGGAAGGGGGGAGGGCAAAGGGCAAATATTTCACGCGTAACCAAATATTTAGCGCAATACCAATTCAGGATATTTTGGGGGGAATTTTTTTAATTTAAAAAATCCAGAAAATTAGCTTATTATGGAACTATATGGACCCACGTTGAGGACTTATTGGCCCCTCCTACAGGGGGCATAGGGGGGGGCAAGCCTTCTTTTAGGGGGGGGCATACCCCCCTTAATAAGGCTAAGGGGGCTGGCCCCCCACCCTCTATTAGCGCGCCTGGTTGCCACTTGGGAGAAGGGCAGCTTTGAAATTTTTAACTTCTTTAAACAAATTTTAAGAATGGATTCAAAAATTACATAAAAATGTCCAAAAATCCAGAGAAAAAATTTTGCCGGGGGTGGGGGATGAAAATTTAGCCAATATTCGAATTATCCCACACCTCTCACCTCCATCCGGATTAATTAAAAATAACAAAATATTAAAAGATTGTGACAACATGTTTGGCCCCAGGCCTCACCCGAGATATGCTTATCAGCTTCCTTCCTTAATTTACCTCAACAGGATGCATTATTATGCAAAACAAGACAAAACGATAAAGATATTTGAAGCCGAGAAAAAGTAATGATTTTTTTTCTGTTTATGATCCTAATTGGGAAATTATCCTTTGTCTTGGTGATAGATGCAAGTATTTGCAAGAAAATATTCAACCACAATTCCATCATGAACAAATTGCATCTTTAAATCTGAAAATTATATGTAACTCTTATTAACCAATTTTTAGAGTTGTAAATTTATGAATAGAGACAGGTAGTTAAACTAGGTAACTATATCTTACTACTGCAGGTTTAAGTTCCTGTGGCATGGGTTTATTTTTTGAAAAAATTATTAACGCCCGCCCCCCGCCCCTTTTGAAAATGTTTTTTTTTTTCCCATGATGTTAGGTATTCTTGGAAAAAAAATTATTGAAAATAATTTTTGGGTGAAAAGTATCAACAAGGATAAGAATACTTTTGTATGTTTAATTTTTCATTTCTTTCCCCCCCCCCCCCCGACATTCAAAAATCGTTGCCCCCTTGAAGTTGAAATTTTATATCCCTATGCCGTGGACGTTTATGCACCATGTATATACTGAATGTAAAAGCAAAATATGTGTTAACTGGCTCGACCAGACATAAGAGAGTTACAGAGATCGTTTAAAACCTATGATTTTGCGTTTTTTCCCACATCATGTTCTATTGTACACGACCAATCAGCAAACATCTGTATTCAGGGATATTTAAGGATCCTTTGAATACGAAACACAAAATCTTCAAAAATAGACTGAATTCATAAATGTAATGTATCATGTTTAAAATTGGAGTGTTTCTGTAACAGTTGTAAAACTTAACCCCTGAATGGGTATTATGTTCAACAAGTGGCCGTAAGATGGCACTCTAAAAACCTATCGTAAAAACGTAGCATGTCGTGCCGGGTCAACTTAGGCCTACATAGCCCACCATGTGAAAGGAGATAAGAAGTCTGTGTAGTCTGATGGCTCAACTATGAAACCGATATCAAATTGTTGACCAAAATATTATTAAAGAGTACTTTTTTCTTTAAATTTTAAGTACCTTGTTTTGCCCCGTTGGAAGTTGCTGATACAGAGATTATAAAGATAACCAGAGAAACTACAAACGATCTAAAAATAGAAAGTTTTAAATTCGTTACGCACACCTCTATATGTATAAAATATATATTATATATATATATATACTAGCTATGCAAGCAAACCCAACTTTTTCTATTAAATTCAACCAACTCAATTCAGTATTTTTAAGCCAGACTGAGAGAACCATGGATCCCGAATCTAAATTTAAAGCAAATCAGTCAATGGGTTCACGAGTTATGATCGAACAAACAAACAAACAGAGATTACAACTTTATATATATTGATATATTTATATTTGGCTAGTCTGTTTGTTTAAGTCCAATAAATAAATCAGTTGAACCAATCTGGCCAAAAATATTTCTAGATGCAGACGGTAATTTTTTTTTTAGATTATTTCAGCCCCCAACAGGTGCTGGGCCACACGGATATGATATAAAAATATACAATGCCCCCCCCCCCCCTGCCTGCCTGGAGAGATTCCTGAAAAAGTTCCATTACGTACATTCTAACCCCCTCCCCCACCTATCAATTTTGTACATGATTTCAAACATTTTCAACAACAAAAATATTATGTATTAGTTATTATTTCAGGGTTAGGTTAAGTTAGGACAATTTCTGGGCCGAGGCCTTCAACAATTTTCAACAAAATTAGTATATATTTAGGGTTAGGTAAGATTAAGACACTTTCTGGGCCGAGCATTACGGCTAGGACAAGCTAGGGGGGCCGAGCGCTGCAGCCAGGACAGGACTTTAATTTTGTCAATTATCAACAAAATTAGTATATATTTGGGGTCAGGTTAGGTTAAGACACTTTCTGAGCCGAGCGCAGCGGCTTGGACAGGCTAGGGGGCCAAGCGCTGCGGCTAGGGGACCGAGCGCCGCGGCCAGGACAGGCTAGAGGGCTGGGCGCTACGGCCCCATGACAAACTTAATCCTTGTGTTAAATATGAATTACATGTAATCGTATTTTAGGAAATTAACCAACATTGTCATAAAATATCGCCAAAAAAGTCGCACCACGTATAATACGAGAGTGGGCGAAGTATGTTGAGGGGGAGCGAAGTCAGGTCACTCCTTCCCTAATTGCACCACAGACTGTAATACAGTTTTAACATTTAAAAATCTTACCTCCCATGCATCGAAATATCACCGCCTCCCATCCTACCAAGAAAAAAATCAAACAAAAAATATGGCAATTCGTCTAAAACCTCTGATTCTCCGATATCCGAATCTACATGGTATCTGGAACAAAAATAAAAAGACTTCAATTATGTTAAGTTGACTGAAATTTCGTTGAAGTGGCCGTAGGAAACAAGTTTAAGATACAGATGTACTACCCAGACAGTACAGCTGTACAGAATACAAAGGTTATTGTGAACGTACGAACATAATTTAAAATGCAGTACACATTTGCACAGTATAATAGGGTTTAACTTCCCGGGTACTTTATAAAAACTTCTTCCACAACAATTATGACTATAAATATGAAAAAATAAAAAAGTTTTAAATTTTTTTTTGTATTACACGATTTTAACTTCTAATTTTCTGGGATCATCTAAAAAATAGAATCCATATTCTTTCACATACTCTGTATTAACCCCCCCCCCCCCCCCCCTTCAATAGCTGTGCCTCTTGCCTCACCCCTGAAATCCTGTATTTCTTGAAACCCGAGAGTCGAGAGAGTTAAGAAATCAGCTGGTCTGAGTTCAGTGTATACAATCTACACACATTGTTCACTGTTCAATCTAGAGTGTTTATTTGACCCTTTTATCTTCGTTAAAGTTATTATTTGCCTTTCCCAACTATATATCTACTTTACAAGTCAATTTCTCCAGGTATTATAATTTAATAAATGTTTTTTAAAACACTTTTATACCTTAATAACGATTTTTTTGTAATCTTGTTCTACACGTTTACAGTTCAGCTGACATTCAACTAAACTTGTTACTAAGTCAAGCCGATCAATTCACATTGCAGGGGGGGGGGGAGGTCTGAAATAGGTTTCTTGGGACACGGGGAGGGGGCACGGGACCCCCACTCCCTTAGTTACGGTCCTGATTGGTTTGTTCAACTTGACTTATTTCTGTTTGTAGAATGGTTGTAAGCCTGAAATGGAGAGGAAAGGGAGGAGATGTAAAGATTGCTGGAGAGTTCAACGGGTGGGAACCCAGCCCTACAGATAGGACACATGACATGTGGCAGGTCAACCTGGACCTAAAACCGGGCAGGTTAGAGCTTATAAGACAAAAAAAATCAGGCATTAAAATTAAAATTAGATTTAGAGTAAATTTACATAAAAAGATTTATGGATTACAATGGTCAGATGTATATTTTTGTTTAAATTAAATTGTTTTAGTTTATTGAGTCATACCTATTATTTAAAAGAGCTAGTGTATTCTTTTAATTGTTAAATGTTTGCTGCAGGTATGAATACAAGTGGGTAGTTGATGGAGAATGGCTATTGGATGAATCTCAAAGAATAGATACTGATACGGTAAATTAATCACTTTTTTGTTTATGATGATAAGATACAAATTATAGTTTATATTGGGGCGTATACAATGGAGGGGGTAGGGTTGCATAATGCTTATGAGGGCTTAAATATGTAAAAAATTTGGTTTCCAGGTAGTTATACCCCCCCCCCTCCCTTTTTTTACCCTCAATTGGAAAATTATTATATCCCCCCCCTCAGGACCATTTCCTGAAAATGCCCCTGGTTTTATCATAACCCAATCAACAGCTAATTGCAATGTTTGCTTTTTCTACATTATTACCACTATTAAGGTTTCAAGGGCACCGTTGTGAATCGGGTATTTTTAAGGGGGGGGGGGTACTACAAATTACAATAACTGTCTTTAAAAATATGTCCTAAACTATCTTAAAATGGTAAATGAATTTTAGTCTGGGAACAAAAACAATATTCTTATCGTGGAAGAAGGATGTAAAGACCAGAAAGAAGAGGAAGGGAAAGCGGAAGTCCATGAAGAGATGAAAGAGAAGATTGTTGATGAAGAGGGAGAGGGGAGCGGAGATAGGTACACAACAGGATATTGCATTGTTTTGTAATTCTTAATTTTATCAATAAAAGCTTCAACTTTTTTCCTTCGACAAATTAATTATATCAAATTCTTTAAGTTTAAAAATGAAGTTGTGAAAATCCTTAGATTACGGAATTTTTCTTTTCATAGCGGTTTTGTCTCACAAAAGAGGTGCCAACTTCAGAAATGTGGAACAATTTATCTGTTTTTATAAAACAGGTCTATTTGCCACTGAAGTAACGAAAAAATTACATTATAATCACAAACTCGACATTTAACGATTATTAGTTTCAGATTATGTTTTAAATTTATTGCAATCATTATTATGTGAGTATTTTTGTGTCCCCGGAATTTGGTTGGTTTAATAAATATTAGTTTTTGTCCTTCAGTGATAGTTGGGAGCGTGTTAGTGTTGGAGATTGTTCAGGAGAAGATCTCGCTAATAAACCTGAACCCGGAGAACCCAAACCTGAACCCGGAGAAACCAACCCAACTCTGGTCGGTTCAACCCCATCCGTCCAACCAGGGAAGAAGGAAGTCAATATAGAACGAGTTTTCAGGTATGATTTTAAACAAATATCTCATGTTAGTTTATGGAAAAGTTACTGAGCATAGGGGTAGGTTTTCAAGGATAAGAATAAGTTTATTTTTGTCTTTTTTATGTTATTCTTTAAAATACCTTTTTAGCCTTATAGATATAAAAAATTGAGTCTAGAACTTATAATTGGGATAGTGCCTAGCGATGTCAGCTGAACCAGATATCCACATTGTTAATTTTAACTGAAGAATTTAGGTCTAATTTAGGATATTTAAGTTGAATAAACCAAGAGATAATCGAAAATGATTCCAAGAAAAGGGTGGATATGCCTGAAGACTTAAAATAAACCGTAATGGCTAGGAGGAGGGGAACCAACTAAGCGTGTTTATAATAATCATATAATTAAAAGTTTTGTTGTCTGGAAAATTCTATTGATATTTAATTTTCAGTCCTGGATCTGAATACAATGCTGAGATGAATGAAGGGGAGAAGGATGAGTATATGGTTGAATACTGGGATACCCTCGACTATACCCTCATGAAGGAGGGACTATGGCTCAAGCAGATCAAAAACAAGTGGATTCTGAGGTAAGCTTTGTGGATTCTATAAGAAATTGGGGGTTTGATAACCTGTAAAAATATTAACCTAGTTTGATTAATTGCACTTAAATAAATTTTTTATTCACTTTTGATGAAAAAGACAACTATCTTAAAAAATAAGTTTTTATGATTAAATAAATAAATTATTTATTTACTACAAGGAGATTGGACAGGGCGGGGGTTTCTAGTGTAGAGGATAAAACAGAAATAGAAAAATATCTTTTTCAAGCATTGGGAATCCAGGTATAAGGTTAAACTCATTTCAATATCAACATCTTTTCACATTTTTTCTCTACATTCTCAACTTGTAATTAATGTTGGCATGGAACATTCAAATAGTATCAAAAATTTAGAAAGGAATTGCAACAAATTCTTAATGTTTTCTAAATGAAAATAATTCTAAACAATTTTTTGATAAATAAATCTTTAATAAATAAACGGAGTGAGATATCCAAGTTTTTATCGCGGAAAATTGATTGTTTTAGTTGTAGTTTCTCTACAAAATTGATTAACGATATAGAGGCTAAGAAAGAATTTAACACTTTTTGAAGATAGAAAAACGACAATATCTTTGAGGTTTTAAGGGTACCATTGTGAATCGGACATACATTGTGAGTCACTCCAAATAACGTCCTTAAAACTTTTTGTACTTAATATTAATGGATGAATCATTGAATATTGCTTTTTCTAGAAAACCTTGGAAAGTTATGTCTCTGACAACTTAGGATGTAACATTCAATTTAATGGGAGTACACACAGGTATGTACGCATTATTTTAAAGGGTTTATTTTTATCTTTATTTTGAACTTTTTTAATAGAAATAGAAATCATAATTTTTTATCACAATGCTCAATTGACTCTTGAGATTAAATATAACCCTTAGTCTTAAACATTCAATATTCAATCTCTTACAACGACAAAAAAAAAGCTTTTTGCATTAAAAGAATTGCAATTGTTTTTAACTTCTCTGGCCCCTACATATTAATATTATCCTTTTATTCCCCCCCCCCCCTTCAACCCCTTGATTTTAAATGTTCTTTTTTAAGATACAAGTATGACGATGTTACTGTGGAGTGTATACAAGAGGGGGACCTACGTACAGTGTCACTCAGGTACAGAACAATGCAATGCAGTGCAGTGCAGTGCAGTGCAGTGCAGTGCAGTGCAGTGCAGTGCAGTGCAGTGCAGCACTGTAAGTTATATTATTTAGTGTACAGATGATACATTGCATGGGGCGGACTCCCCTAAAGTTTTAACCATGTCAACACAATGTTGGCAGTGTGTTGCAAATTAGATAATTTCTAATGTGTATATCCAATCAAAATACATTAATTAATTTCGGAAAATGTCGTAACATTTCTTTTTATGTCTATAATTGTGTTGAAATGGTTGAAACTTTAACCTTCCCTATGCAGGAGTCCGCACCATTCATGACACCGACCCTGCACAAGAATATCTAGATTTGTTCACAATCAATTTTTCATAAAAAACTACGATACGTCACGATAAAATATAAACAAATCCTTTTTCCTAACTTATGTATCTCTATGGTACTATAAAGTCTGCACACTAAAACAGTAAAGTTTACTCTATTTTACACTGTCTAAGTGGTATTACTATTTACAACACTGTTATTTTGGTTCGCAGTGTTATTAAGTTATTGGACAGAAATTTTCTCTTCATCGATAAGGTTCAAGCCTTTTTAGATTTAATTTTGTCCCGAGCTTGAGCAAGGGACAAAGAATAATCTAAAAAGGCGAGAACCTTCCAGATATAGAGAAAATTTAAGTCCAAAAAGTTTATAGCACGTGGTGGCAAAAAAAATTGTACATGTTATTTTATGAAACGTTTGTGAACTTGTCTTTTTTCAATGGCTGTTTCTAGATCAAATAAGCTTTGAAACAAAGCAGAAGTCAAAATTTTTAGTAATTGGAAATATCCTAAATTTATTTGAGAAAATCCGGGAACCAATCAAAACTTTATAGTACACGTGCTATAACTTACAGCTAATTTAACATTATAGCACGATAATTACTTAATAGCAGTACACTATAGTATAAAGTATTTTAGCAAATTTTTAAATTTACTTTTACGAGAATCAATGTTCATGTTTTTTCAAATGTTATTGACAAACAGATCTATTGTTTATTTTACTTACCAGTATTTTTATAAAAAAGTGATAATTTTAAAGGATTACTAAGATCTGTACAATGTATAATTACTAATTTATTTTGAATATTTTTAGCTATAATACTGTTGACAGATAACAGCAACACGCTAGACAAATCCGGATAATAGGCCGGTTAGGATTTTGAAAGGGGTGTTTATTATCCCCAGACGATTATTTCCCGATGGCCGAACAATACACACACAACAGAGTACCCCGTCACAGAAATTCGATAACAAAATCTTTATTTCCTAAAAAATAACATAAATTATAGGTCATGTTGAATTGTACAATGTTATAATGAATGTTAATAGTGGAAAAAATCTTACGAATTATTTAAGTATGGAAGGGGTGATTTATTTGTTGGTCAGTATTGAAATACGTTTTTAACTTCTGAAAAAAATTACAGTTGAATATTTAACGAAATTCACTTATGCTTCTTATGAAAATATTTTGCTTAACTTTAATGATTTCACAACAACGAAATGTTTCAAGCTCCGTCGGAGGAGGACAATGGAATTAGCGGGCTGAAATTTGGTTTGGCTGTCTCCGACAGGAGATTCCAGTAGAAGACGACATTTTACAGAGGTTTTGAAATTAATGGTTAACAAATACTTATGATCTATTTTATTCGGATCCGCCATTGGTCGACACTAATAATAAGTGTTTGAGAGTAAAACATTTGTTCAGGTTTTAATTTTGCTCTTCCGATCCGAATCAACATTAAGGATTTTAAGCGATTTTTTATCCCTCTAATTCTTGTTATAGGCTACAATCTGAATTATGCCCTGGATTGAAGAAAATCTACGAAACCGCTCGACATCTTGGCTTGGAGAAGTTAAACCTTGTGTAATCAATAGATCTCTCTTGCAATCTCTTCTCAAGATTTTTGAGTTGGTTTTTTTCTCCAGTTTAAATAAAATGGAGATCTAATGTTTTTCGTCCTATTGTTGCGCTCAATTGACTATTTACTTGAATTTAAGTTTTTAAATGTTTTTATATTTTTATGAATAAACCGCTTTTATTTTTGCATTAGTTTTAAGTAGGGTTATTTATGACATATTTACTCGGTCACAACTTGATTACTGAAACCAGTTTTTACTCGATATTAAACCTGTTATCATTGGATCACTGTTAAAACTCGTTCTGTCTGAAAGTCACGTCTGAGTACGAAATGAAGAGAGAAAGCCGCTAAACGACGCATGATCGTACACTTTCTATCTTTCTTACTTTCTACTCTGACACTCAGCTGTTTTGGTTGTAACATTTTAACAAGGGATTTTATATTTTCCCTTTCAAAATGAGAATAGCTTAAGAGTTGGCATTTTTATGAAAATATTTGATTTTTTGTGAATTATTTTTTGAGTTTATATTTGCCCTTGACATGGCAGTAAAAACTCCTGGAGTTAAGAATGGTCAGCTGATTATATCAAGGCACTGCACTGCCTTCTTTCTGGAATCACGCGTGTAATTTTGTGATTATTATCTCTAGAAATTTACTTCTAAAATTAGGTTGACAAATATATGCAGCAAATTATATCAAAAATCAAGACAATATTCAAGTCGTCTTGCATACTGTCATGTTTCCTGGGACACCCTGTATGTTCAGTAAAGTGTAAAAAAGGCGTCTTCCTTGGTCTAATTTTGTAGAAAATACTTTGACCATTATCTTATTGGTACGTTTATTCAATTGATTATTAACAAGTGTATATAAATATTAATGTAAACTATTTATGCGTTATTCTATGAGTTAGATATGTTTGTGCGTCACTCAATCCCTCTTTCTTGTATTGCAAGTTAGCCTAAAATATTAAATAATTCGGAGTAAAAGAACTTCAATTAAAGAGAATTTGTTTTAATGTCTTTGTTTTTAAATAAATGATAAACGAAGAATTAAGTTCTGGGTTTGATTACATTTATCTCCAATTGTTCCTTTTTTACCAGTTAGGAACCCTGAACTGGGAACTTTTATATTTAGGATATCTAGATAAATGCTTGAAATCGATCTTTTGTTAATCTTCATATTATTTTAGTCTTTATTCGATATCCTGGAAGGTAACCTTTCCTAGTCAGGGGCTAAGTGGAGCTTAGATTAGGGGATTAAAGTAAAAATAGATATTTGGAAAGGTATAATTTTACCGATTCTAAAACTTAAAGTGCTCTTAAGTGATATCAAGATCATGTAATTGAGATTATGAGTATTCAACAATAAAAAATCTCCGATTAGCACCCCCCCCCCCCCCCCACACACACACACCTTCCCATAATTAATTCCATTTCACCCCCTTTAGTTACTATAAAATGGTAAAGAATAAGATTTAAAATGATTGTTTTACCTCCATAACTGTGGATAAGGACATATCGCAAAAGCCTGATCTTGACTCGTATTCAACCACGGCAATCTGAAAGTTTTTAAATTTTATTTATCATACAGGGTTTCTTTTATTGTTACGATTCTACAATAAATTTACTTTTATATGTTTTGGCAGAATAGTTTAATAGTGTATTGAATGATTTGGCAAAAAAATTAAGAAATGAAATGTTGATTGAAGACATTTTCCATTATTCTTTCCAACCTGACGCAGTATAATATTTCTAACTTTGACTACTCATGCATGATCTATGAGAATTCATAAAATGCTGCGACATCAGATAAACCGGGTTTACAGAAAACTAGATTATGTGGCAGTTAATCGGTTAGTTTCTGAAAACATTCTGAATTGCAATGTGAAAAGAAATCCATAATTCTTTTTGCTTGAAACATTGAAAGAAACTGTCAAGACAGTTCTGGATATATCAATTTAATTAAATTGGCTGTCCTTTTTAGAATTGTGTGATTGTGTTAGGAACTCATGAAGGGTCCCTTTCAAATGTACTAATCATTTCTTATAATATTAAAATTCAATTTTTAACTTCAAGAATTTTATAAGCTTAGATACAGACGGATGGGCCATTCATGCTTCTCCCACAAAACTGCATGAGTATCATTTTTGTTTCTATTATTTTTAATTCTTCATTCCAAGCTTTTTTTTCTGCAAACAAACCGAGTTTAAGATGTATTCTGTCAATTGATGAAAATTCAATAAAAACTTACATTATTCCAGTTTTCAGAGTGAGGGATTCCAACCCGTGAAATGGTCGCTCCAACCAAAGGAAATAGTTTGAAAAGGCAGGTGTTCTCATAAATACTAAATACATCAGGGTCCTGAACGTAAAAGGCCAAATTTTATAAAAATCAATGCAGAGATGAACTATGTAGACTAAGCTGACTTAGTGTGTTAGTGCTGGAACCCTTAAACCTATTGTCTGATAAAGAATGAATGAGATATCCATATTTATCTTTAAAAATTTGTTATTTTTATGTTTTGGTTTCTATGAAAAAAGCTTGAGAAACGACCATAACTTCAACATTATGATCAGTTAAAGGTTTCAGGGGTACTGTTGTTAGTCGGGCTTTGTCATTTTTGCATGGAGGGTCACTTGACATTTTGTTTTCAGTCCCCTAAAAATATTAAATGTAGAAATCCATCTCTAATGATACTGTTTGATTAGCAACATTTTCAGCGGCTAATTACTTGAATTAAGCATCTAACCTTTGTTTCTATAAGTGAACTGGAACATTTTGTAAATGTAAAAAAAAAGAAATAACTTTGTGACTAAGGAATAAATTTGGACGTTCCCTCGAAATTACGTTGGCAGTCCCTTTAAATACAATTTATCAAGATTAAAAATATTTACTTTTTTCTTCATTATATTGACCATGATTGATGAATATGTTTGACTCCTGGCCTGTTCACTGCAGATCTGTGTTCGTAGCTCATTTAGAAAACTTGATGCCTCCTGTAAAAGTATTAAAAAAAACATTCTACGTTATCGTCAAAAATCTTGTTATCGGGGAGTTAATGATTAAATTTGGACCTGACACAGTCGTCGTATATATCAACAAAATGAAGACTATTTCCGATGCCTACCATGGTTTTAACAGCATGAATACACATGAACATTGAAACTAAGAGAAGCTGTCATTTAATTGCTTTTCTTTGATTCCTTGTAAGCTTCGAATTTGAAGAAAGCTTTTAAGAAATCAAAACTTAAATCGAAAAGTTGTCTTCATTGTATTAATATAAACGCCTACCACTGTACAATTGTTGATTTGCGATTTGTTGTCATTTTATTACATTCTTGAATTGATAAAAATATCTTTTTTTAGAATCCACTCAACAACAAAAAATAAAATAATAACTAGAAACTTTACTCCGCTACCTTTCCAGTTCCTACTCTGGGAGACAAAGATTCGCCTGTGACATACTTCACAAAAAGCCCTGAATAAACAGCAAAAAAAAATAATAAAATGTCGGAATTTTTTTAAAGCTTTACAGCTTTACCTTTAATTTTGATGATAAAGTTTATAAGTACCCGTTTACCCTCTGCTGCTTCAAAGGGATAAATCTAAAAAATTTAAATAATCAAGCTCTTCGAAAGCTAACGCTGGTCAAACGGCTAAACTAAATTGGCTGACATTTTTTGAGGCAACCCATGGGTGACCTAGGCTAAAAAATACTGAATTTTTGTAATTTTATGGGCACTGCAAAATTCATGATTCAAGACCACGCGCGGGTAAACGGTAGGGGTAACTATGAGTGACCGGGGTAACGCCAGGCAATTCAGGTAGTAATAATGAAAAATAATCTTTCTAATCTTAAACGAAGAAAATAATTTTTGGTTTTGTTTTGAAACATGGAAAATATATATTTTCCATAGAAGAGCTGAATTATGAATTAGGGGGCGGAAACGTCATGTATGTGTGTCTGTACCAAAAGAGTGTGTGTAAGCAATAACGAACCGAAGGCGTGTACTAAGGGTTATACAGTGTATCAGAATCTTGATATTTCAGTTTAGGAGAGTATATTTGTTTATTGTTAATTGTTTACTTAAAAATCAGTTTAATATGCATGAAATATATCATTTATAAATATAAGTTAACACTATAAGCCAAATTTTCTTGCAAAGAATGTAATTTTATTAAAGTTTACAATAAACTCTCGTTATTCAAGCTTAAATATAATTGACGACATTGTTCTGCAATGACTGTAGTCATGTTGTGTGTCTGTACAAAAAGAGTGTGCGCGTGTAATAACGAACCACGCGTGATTTTACGGTTATGAATGAGAGAAAAAAAAACTGTATTGGTCCCAAGAATCATGGGAATTAAGAGACGACTTGAAAGTCGTCTTTGATTTCTTTGATTTAATGCATGGCAAAGAAAGTTAAATAACGAGGCTGCACGTCTGACGAGCTTTTCATAAAGTGGTCTGAGTGGTCTACCTTTCTTAGATCTTAATCATAGACGAAGATAATACAATAGACAATATTAGACAATAAGACAATTTCAATTCGTTAAAGAAATTGAAATTTGTAAAAGTTTTGCAATATCTCCGTCAATTTTGAAGATTCAAAAATGGTAGACCGGAAATTGTGTAAATCTCAAAACCAGGCGTTTTCGATTTTAGGCGTTTGAGCTGGAATACTGAAATAATTGTGTTCATGAAAAAATGCCGCATGTATCAAAGACGATATAAAAGTCGTCAATGAATTTCCAAGTTCTTCTCAGTAATAGCTTTTTAATAAAATAAAAGATAGATTTAAAATGAAAGCAAGCATATTAGATAATTAGATTTACTTTAATTTGAAGAGGGAGGGGGGAGGGAGGGGCGGAATTAGGCCAAAAAGTCCAAAATATGACCAAAAAATAAATTAATAGTCAAAGAATTTCTGATAAACTGTCTGCATGTAAAACTTCAAAATTTGTTTTTAAAACTTAAACCAAAGTCTAAATATTCAAATTTTAAATCAAGTTTTGAAGCTTCGCAATTTTTAAACAATTTGAAAAACGGGTATTTTTAACTTTAAAACGACCAAACAAATTTAGTTCTTGGACTTAATTTACTCAAAACATTTTCTAATTTTGTAAGAATAGACATATACCTCTAGTTTCTTGATAAATGTAAGTTGGTTAAAATATCTAGACAACTGTTCTACACTATCCTCAGAAGATATTCTTTTCGACACCAGAGCGTATTCCCAGTCAACCTGAGATAAAAACTTATATAATATACTTTACTTGTATGGGTGTCTGTCTGTCTGCGTGTTTGTTTGTTTTGTATCCAATAAACGGCTGAACAGATCGGGACCAACTTTTTAGCAGGACCTCATGTGAACCCAGGGAAGGTATATGGATGATCGAATTTTCAAAAATTTGCCTGTAACAATAATCGATTTTTGAAAATTTTGAAAATCCATGATATTGTTTTCTTTTATAATGTATACAAAGAGAAAATGTTCAAAATTGAAAAAGAAGATGGGCGCGAAGCATCCTAAAAGCCTAGTATGGTAAAAGTAAAATCGGATTCAAAATTATAAGTCTACAATGAATACTAGAAAACTTTGGAATAGAAAGTCAACTTTTAGACTTAAGAGGTATACTTTAAGTAGTCCAATGAATAAGAGCTGCATAGCAATTACGCAGTGTAAAGAGACCCATCTCACTTAATTAATAGCAATTACGCAGTGTAAAGAGACCCATCTCACTTAATTAATAGCAATTACGCAGTGTAAAGAGACCCATCTCACTTAATTAATAGCATTTTCGCAGTGTAAAGAGACCCATCTCACTTAATTATTTGATTTAATAACTTACTACAGTGAAACCCTTAATAACGAATACATCGGAAGAATTTATCAAATGCCGTCTTGACAATTTTTCAATTAGTTTTATACTATATTAGGTAAATTATAGTATTTGCGAAGATAAATAAATAGCCATGAATATGCGAGAACAGTTTTGAAGAGTTGCATATTATCATTTAATTAAAAAACTAAATATCTGCAACATTCCATTATCAGAAAGTGAAGATTACGACATTTGATGAATTCTTTCGATGTATTCGTTATTAAGGGTTTCACTGTAGTAAGGCTATTTGCTTTTTTGTAAACATAAAATTGACTTCACTATCGCATTGATGTCGTCTACTTATTCTTCAGGTTTCAGATAATTTTGGAAAAGGTCAAGGCCCCCCCCCCCTAAAATATATCCTGTATACGCCCCTTGCGACATTCTCTTCTACCGGAGATTATAGATTAAGTTTGAATCTACAAGTTTTATTCAAATGATCAGAAAAATTACGATTTTATAAAAAGCCAAATGAAAAAACTTACTGTCAGTTTATCATCTTTGCCTAAATGTCCATCTAAATTTCTCTCTATCTTCAAAATATCACTAAAATGTAATATTTATTTATATAAATTTTGCTTTTATTGTTTAAATATCTTTTTTAATGTATGAATCTAAACTTACTCTATATTCTGGAGAGAATAAAGTTCATTTTCCGATCCCTTCAGTTTCAGCAAAACTTTAAAAAATGTGGATATTGAGTAATTGTATTTAATTTGAATAATAAATATTTAATGAAATATGAATTTAAAAAAGAAATAAATAAAACAATTAAGAAAAATATGAATGAAGAGATAAATTAGAACTTGAAGTATATTTAGTTGTACACTGTTGTTGACAATAAACCAATCTCCTAACCCCCATCCTTACGTATTTCATGTACCGGCCCAACTATTAATCAGCTAGAGCAAGCTGAACAGTAAAATAAAGTAGTATAAAAGTATGTTTTATCATAACTCATAAACCCCTTGACCGAGTTGATTTGAATTCTTAAATGGGAACTCAGTAGGACCACGGTAATGTTCTTAGCATGTTTAAAATTTCTAGAAATTGAGTATGTTGACTTTTAAAGAAAAATCTTAGTTTCCTGTCAAAGCTGGGTACCCAAGATATACATACATCATAAACTTTTTTAACTGTATATATACTAGACGATACCTAATAATCTTCTCTCGTTTCTTGGGAATACTGTATACAAACCAACTGCAAGAAGCAATATTATCATGTAGGTTTCCATTCTATAGTAATAATAAGAAGAGTTGTAGTTAAAGATAAACTGCAGGCAGTGCTTGTCAAATATCTGTGTACATACAATACAGGGTGTCCCAATATACATTATTAATATTATTAATTCAAAAATAGTGCTTTTAAAATTAAGGTCATTTATAATAAATGACAAACATTGTTGTTTCTTTTTTGAAATCCCAAGAATACTAATTTATTATTTTTCGACGTGCAGCAGTTTTTAGATAAGTAAAAAGAATATTATTCACAAAAAAAAATATATTTTTTAAAAATCTAAATTTAAGTTTTCACACTCTTGTAAAGATAAGAAAGTGCACACTCATGCACGTAAAGTTCAAAGAGTACTCTTTCAACTTGGGTTATGTTTGCAAGATAAGAATGCGTTAAGGTATTTTCAATTGTCGTCTTCCGTTAGAGGTTAAGAGTCATGACTACTAGGGTCACGGAGTATGGAATATAGCCCTTGATGTCGCACACCATTTAATTAATCCATAGTACAAAAATGCAAAAATAAAGCCAACCATGAAATCGCATGCCCACAGAATAAACGCGATTTTTTTAATATTTTGCAATTTTTCGGGATTTTACCAGTTTTTACAGTTTAGGTCATTTCATGGTCAGTTTGGAATTGGATAGTGTGAGAACCGGGGGGATGATAGTTCTCTACCTGTGTGCTCAGTTAGCTGTACTGTACACTTTCAAATGTTTACTAATATTGATATACAGGGTGTCCCACATCATATTAGATCGTCAATCGGTCTAAATTAAGATTTTCCGGACTAATCAGAAAATTTAAGAAGAATGAATTGTTTTGAAAAATTGAATAAGGCTAATGTAAGAATTTGCTTGCGGAAAATGCAAAGTTTATCGTGTATTATGGGTTTATTTCGGCGTTAAAACTTGGAGATGATCTAATTTGATATGGGACGTTCTGTACTATAGGTTAGGCCAGAATCCACTTATAATAAACAAATATGCAGTACACTATAACCTCGTTGGTGAGAACAAAATCAGCCACATTTTGGAAAGCTGGTGTCCTGAGCTCTATATTGAAATATAATAGATATTTATGGAAAATTACTTTTTTGCAAGAAAATATTTGGATTTTTTCTTTAAAGAAATAAAAGAACAGAGATATTTGTTCCTGCTCGTTGACCCCTCTTAATAGCCCCCCCCCCCCCCAAAAAATAATAATTTTTTTTTTTGGGGGGGGGAGATATTGATATTTGTGCAGATATTGAAAGTGTATAAAGTGTATAAAATGTTTAAAGAAAGCGTAAAAATAGAAAGTTTTGAAGACCACCATTGTGACTGTATTTTAAAACTATTAAGACTTTTTATTTTTTAACTTGTCAAGAAACTCATAGCATTTATTTTGAAATAGTAAATTAACAACAATAATCATGTTTTTTTCTCATGTTTTAATTCCGGTGGAGTATCATTAACATTAACATATAAGTAAAAGAATGTTTGAAGATGCTTAAATTGTTTATTTTGACAAAAATATCCAAATATTCTAAAATCAGAAAAAGAGACTTTATCACAACATTAATACTAAAAATACGGATATTGGTTTAAAAAAAACATTATAAGAAATCAAAGTAATGAATCAAATTGAATTTTAACTGTTTAATGCATTTGATCACTTGATTTGCCCATGACAAGGCAGGAATCTAAATATTATATTATATTAAAAGAGTTTCAAGTTGATAAAAATTGTCCTTAGTGGGTAACCCTGTGAATGAAAAAGCGAAAACTTATGCCTGAAAATGAATTGATGTATAAAATTGAATAAACCTTAAATTTATCTTGATCTTCTCTGCTTTCAGCAATCTCAAAATGAAGAACTGTAAGTTTTGGAAACCATCCCAAAACTGTGCTGGCAGAGCTGCATATGATGATAACCATCCCAAAACTGTGCAGGCAAGGGCATATGATACTCAATAACCATCTTTCCTTAAATGGCAAATGTGTCAAGTTTATAAAACATAAAAACACCCCATATGAAAAGACTTTCACCTACCTTCACACTTTGGTATGAATTTATGATTTTTCCACCAGTACTTGTGACTGGGAAATAGTCCAGGGTTTGTTAGATTAGTCTTGTATTTTTTTATTTTAATGTTAACCGGATATACTTAATGTTGACCGGATATACTTAATGTCGACCGGATATTCTTAATGTTGACCGGATATACTTAATGTTGACCGGTTATACTTAATGTTGACCGGATATACTTAATGTTGACCGGATATTCTTAATGTTGACCGGTTATACTTAATGTTGACCGGATATACTTAATGTTGACCGGTTATACTTAATGTTGACCGGATATACTTAATGTTGACCGGATATACTTAATGTTGACCGGATATACTTGACCCTACGTAGTTTGGCCGAATAATAAAGTGTGGGGGGAGGGGCAAACATTTTTTTTCAGGGAAGGCGACGCTCAGCACCCGCCGGGCCTGAAAAAACAATGGACACCATAGACTTTACTGATCCAGGGAAGGGGGCTGAACCCCTATAGAACCCCTGTGTATGTCTCTGACTCATTCCACATTATTCATGCATATTACTGAACTATGTCAAGTTTACAGATCAAGCCTAATATGCCTTGAATTAATATTTCAACCGGTAGTCTTGAATGCATAAAAATTTCCAAAATGGAGGTTGCGCTTCACGGCGTTGAAATTCCTCTGGCGTACTTGACCTTAAAGTAATATCATCTCAATATAGATAATTTTACTCCAGTGCACACTAATACAGGGGAAGATGGGCAATCTTCAAACACGACTTCAACCAAGGTTCTTTTATAAGGTTGGTTACTCTGGATGCGCTCCAATGTACGGGAAATGTCGCCTCCTTAGCATAGATAGATGAAATACTCATATGACATCACTAATTAAAGAGGCGAGCATGACCTCATATGATTTTTCTTTCTCTCTATGCTAAGGAGACGACATTTTCCCTAAATTGGAGCGCGTCGAGAGCAAGCAACCTTATTATACAACCTTGCTTTAAACAGAGTATCCAAATATTTAAACTGTTAACACTTTTTCCCCATAAAATTCCGTTAGTAAACTAAGCTTTGCAAGGCCCAATGGTTCTAAAATCTGTTTTCCAATACGCATTGATCATGAAGGCAAAAATTATCGAAACTTTTCTATTCGAAATTTCGATATTTTTTTATTTCACAGGCAACGACAGACGCTTCAGCTTGTACTCAACTAAAAACCAAAATGGTTTTGACACAATGAAGGGTCCTGTCGCAGAGGAGATGTGTTTATTTAAAATTGTCATATTTGTTTGTAAAGGTATATATTAGCCATAAAACAAAAGAAAATTAATTATCATTGAAAACAATCAATAAATATTATCTCATGGTGTCTGAAAATATGAAAAATATAAAATAATGATTCTCATTCTTATCATTTCTTTAATCATTTTAGATCTTCATCGTTTCTTGTGATGTATACTTCCTGTTTAGTGTTTAGTGTTTAGTGTTTAGTGTTTAGTGTTTAGTGTTTAGTGTTTAGTATTTAGTCTGAGATGATGATTCATCAAGGATATATTAAGTTTCAAAACAGTAAGACATAAAAATCAAATTTCAGTGAGTAATTTTATAATGATTTGAATAGGAGTAATCTTTGCCGCTTATAATCTACTTGATGATATTCTTGACAGCTAACATTTTACACTGTAACATCATATACTCTATGGCACCCTGTCTTGATCAGTAACAGTATACACTCTGTGGTCCCCTGTTCCCCTGGTTAATTATGTAGTGGGAGTTTACTAGGATGGATCTGGCTGGGCGGAAGTTCTAAAACATCAACAGTTTTAATACATAAAAATGAAGTATGGAGTTCATTAAAAATCCATTTAAAACATTTGTAAAACTTGAGTTGAGCGTGTGAAATGTAGTTTCTGGTTAGAAGAACCTTCCAGGGTCGATCCAATACATGACCCCAATACTAGGCTTGAATTTATATTAAACATTTTATTCATTCGGGGGTAAAAAAGAGGTAAGGTGGGGAAGTGGGTCTGGATCAGAGGGGGGGGGAGAGGCAGGAGGTGTGGATTAAAAGTCGTTGAGATGGGGCCCCCTCCTTCCCAGTGAGGGGAGGGAGAAAGAGATTTTAGAAAAAAAGTTGATTTATAATGTCAACTATTGAATTGATTAAAATAGTTTATATCAATTAACTAAATAACTGCAAGTGGGTCTAAATAAAGATTATGTTTGTCATAGAAAAAGTATCCCTGAGGGTTGAGAAATTTTGAGTAAAATTAAAAATCTTTTTTTGTTTTAAAGTTGAGGAGAAAATTGGTCGTTTACTTGACAAAAATATATTATTTACTTTTATTATAATATTCATTTCATTATTACAAATTATAAGAATGAAATGTTGTTTTACCCAAATACAGCATGATTCTTTCAACCTAAATCATGCATGCCTATTAATATCTATAATGACACGGATATTCAAGCAGTCTGCCTGACTAGGCTTTATCTTCCTTACTATACGCGCATCATTCATATATAGATATTTTAAATGATTATAGGTTATGGACGGATCTTCTTCTTCTTCTTCTTCTTCTTTTTCTTCTTCTTCTTCTTCTTCTTCTTCTTCTTCTTCTTCTTCTTCTTCTTCTTCTTCTTCTTCCTTCTTCTTCTTCTTCTTCATCTCCCACTCCTCCTTTTGAAATTTTTACTCTGAAAGATCCTTGACCTGGGGTACCTTGAGGTTGAGTGTTTTGAATGTTTAATCTAATTTAACAATTCTAACTCGATACCTTACCATCAAAATCAATCAATCAATCATCAATTTATTTAAGTTAAACCTCAAGGTTTTATCTTAGTGACGTTGAAATAGTACCGTTGTGATTCCAACATGGCACTCTATATATGAAGTGTCTCTTTAAGGCAGCGAGACATGGACCAAAAAAAACAATTCTGAATAAATGACAGAACTGTTTTGTTTACAAATATCTGGTAGGAAGAGGGTAGTGAGAATATGAAGGTTAGGTTCAGCTGTTTCCTGGATCTATCTCCGGGTAGAGGTCTAACACAGGATACTATTTACACCTGTAATAATTATATATATGGAGCTCTGGGAGGAGACTTTACAATGAAGACAGGATAATCTTACCACAATCATGTAATTCCAGCTGGGGAATAATTTATTCCAGCTGGAGAATACTTTATTCTAACTAGAGATATACTTTATTCCAGCTGGAGAATACTTTATTCCAGCTGTAGAATACTTTATTCTAACTAGAGATATACTTTATTCCAGCTGGAGAGTACTTTTTTCTAACTAGAGATATTCTTTATTCCAGCTGGAGAATAATTTATTCCAGCTGGAGGATACTTTATTACAGCTGGAGAATACTTTATTCAAGCTGGAAAGTACTTTATTCAAGCTGGAGAATACTTTATTCCAGCTGGAGAATACTTTATTCCAGCTAGAGAATAGTTTATTCCAGCTGGAGAATGCTTTACTCAAGCTAGAGATATACTTTATTCCAGCTGGAGAATACTTTATTCCAGCTGGAGAATACTCTATTCTAACTAGAGATATACTTTATTCCAGCTGGAGAGTACTTTTTTCTAACTAGAGATATTCTTTATTCCAGCTGGAGAATACTTTATTCAAGCTGGAGGATACTTTATTACAGCTGGAGAATACTTTATTCAAGCTGGAAAGTACTTTATTCAAGCTTGAGAATACTTTTGTTCCAGCTGGAGAATACTTTATTCCAGCTAGAGAATAGTTTATTCCAGCTGGAGAATGCTTTACTCAAGCTGGAGAATACTTTATTCAAGATGGAGAATACTTTATTCCAGCTGGAGAATACTTTATTCCAGCTAGAGAATACTTTATTCCAGCTGGAGAATGTTTTACTCAAGCTGGAGAATACTTTATTCCAGCTGGAGAATACTTCATTCCAGCTAGAGAATAGTTTATTCCAGCTAGAGAATGCTTTATTCAAGCTGGAGAATACTTTATTCCAGCTGGAGACATACTTTATTCCAGCTGAAGAATACTTTATTCAAGCTAGAGAATACTTTATTCCACCTGGAGAATACTTTATTCCACCTGGAAAATACTTTATTCCACCTGGATAATACTTCATTCCAGCTGGAGTATACTTTATTCCAGTTAGAGAATAGGGTTTCCAACGAAATGGGGAAATCGTTTTCCTAAAATTTCGTTTTTTTGCGAAATTATCCGGAAATTTCGCATTTTTTCGCATTCCGTTCGAAGACAAATAATTGCAAACATTTTCGGAAAATTTTGCATTTTTAATTTTGCTAAAATTTCGTGAAAAAGTTAGCGAAATAAAGTATCGTGAAATTTCGCATTTTTTCGCGAAAGTTTTTCGTTCGCTGGAAGTCCTATTAGAGATATTCTTTATTCCAGCTCACCAATTAAATTTAGGTATTAAGGGAACCAAGGGTTGATTACAATTATATTAATTTCAGGAATCATTTATGCTTCTAAACCAAAAAAGCTTAAAAGTAAGAGCATCAATTATTTCAGAATTTAACTTGTTTATCATTAATAGAATGAACATTTTAGTATGATTATACAAAATGAACATGTTTGCATTATATTATCCTAGCTACTCCCCGCCCCNATATCTAATCCCTTTAAAAATATCAAAATCAGTTGCATATCTAATCCCTTTAAAAATATTAAAATCAGTTGCATATCTAATCCCTTTAAAAATATCAATATCAGTTGCATATCTAATCCCTTTAAAAATATCAAAATCAGTTGCATATCTAAACCCTTTAAAAATATTAAAATCAGTTGCATATCTAATCCCTTTAAAAATATCAATATCAGTTGCATATCTAATCCCTTTAAAAATATCAATATCAGTTGCATATCTAATTTCTTTAAAAGATCAATATCAGTTGAATATCTAATCCCTTTAAAAGATCAATATCAGTTGCATATCTAATCCCTTTAAAACATGAATATCTCTTGCAATTCCTTTAAAATATCAATATCAGTTGCATATCTAATCCCTTTAAAAATATCAAAATCAGTTGCATATCTAATCTCTTTAAAAATATTAAAATCAGTTGATTATCTAATCCCTTTAAAAATATCAATATCAGTTGCATATATCTAATCTCTCTAAAAATATCAAAATCAGTTGCATATCTAATTCCTTTAAAAATATTAAAATCAGTTGAATATCTAATCCCTTTAAAAATATCAAAATCAGTTGCATATCTAATCCCTTTAAAAATATCAAAATCAGTTGCATATCTAATCCCTTTAAAAATATCAAAATCAGTTGAATATCTGATTTCTTCTAAAGAATTGTATACCAGGAAAAAGAATATAAATATGGAAAAGGAAAATAATTGTATACTAGGAAAAAGAATATAAATATGGAAAAAGGAAAAAAATTGTAAACCAGGAAAAAGAATTAAAATATGGAAAAAGGAAAATAATTGAAAACCAGGAAAAAGAAAAAGGATTGTAAATAAGGAAAAAGAATATAAATATAGAAAAAGAAAAAGGATTGTAAATAAGGAAAAAGAATATAAATATAGAAAAAAATGGATTGTTAATAAGGAAAAAGAATATAAATATGGAAAAGGAAAAGGATTGTAAACAAGGAAAAAGAATAAAAATATGGAAAAAGAAAAAGGATTGTAAACAAGGAAAAAGAAAAAGGATTGTAAATAAGGAAAAAGAATATAAATATGGAAAAGGAAAAGGATTGTAAACAAGGTAAAAGAATATAAATATAGAAATGGAAAAGGATTGTAAACCAGGAAAAAGGAATAATATTGATAGAGTCTGGCTTTTGTATAGAAAGGCCTGCATCAGTAATAGAAATGTATCTATGTATAAATATATTTATATATGCTTACATATCTATATAGAATATAAATATTACAGGGTGTCACTAAATATAAGGATATACATTGCCACTGGATATAAGGATATACATTACAGGGTGTCACAAAAGTATATTCCTAGGAAACCTGTTTTTGAATATGCATAACAATTGATACAACCTGTAAAAAACGTATGCTATGCATACAGTGGCTTGACCCCAAACATCCTGAAATATATATTTATGCATTTTAAGACCTAATCCTAAACCTATTGAATTCAACATCGCTAAAAATATGAATATATTAATTTTATTGATGCATGAGATTGTAATATTAATAATGGAATAAGATAATAAAATGTATATTAAAATATTTTAAAGGGATCTACATTAAAATTCTGAGTTATCTACAGAGTGTCATTGATGTTTCACAATCACAATTTTTACGACCAGTCCCTTTAACGTCGCATTTAAAAAAAATAAATTTTGGGGTTTTTTGCAAACCCCCCTTTAAGCTAATTTTACAGTTTTAAGCAGGCTTTAATGTTAAAATTGTTAATATATGGAAGAATATAGGGTATAGAAAACCAAATATGGAAATTGGGTTGCAAATTTTAAATTAAATATGACGGCGACAAAACATTAATATCAAAATTTAAGGTAATTTTTTATCAATTTTTTATTCAAGGTCATTTTTTGTTTGGGTCGTACAAATATACTAGCTCAGTGCAACGCATGGAGATTATTTGTATAATAGGTGTTTCAAGAGGTATCGAAAAGGCATCCATTTTGATTTTATTTTTGTTAATTTATTTGATTTGATTTCGACTGTTTTTGTTAGATCTTATAAAATCTAATTTTGTTAAGGTTTTCAATTCTAACCATCCATAAACCGAGAAGTCTCACAAAAAATTTGGGCACGTTCGGTTCAGCCGTTTTACTGTTTATCGGTTACACACAAACAAACAGACAAGCAAAGTGTGCATATAAAACATCATGTAAGTATGTATATTGTACATATTTATGTTCTCAGTTAGTTTGTTTAATCTCAAAAATGCATAAAAGCGAATGATTCAAATTTTGGTTCGGAGTTCAAAGCATGGCTTCTTTCTTTTGAATTGTTTAAATCTTGGAAAACAAAAATCTACGAAATTGTTTACATGTTTAAGTTTTATAATTTCAAAAATAATTTCATTAGAATTTTAATTTTATTTTATTTTTTTTTATTGCCTTTTGACTGTCAATAGTTGAATATTCTGATAATTCTATCATAGCTCGTGATAATATCTTACTCCAATCCTCTCGTAAACTTGGTTAGGACGGATTTATTATGTTGATCTCCGGGTCATGAATACAGCTGAGAGAAGGCTGAGAAGGGTGGTTCCGGAAAATTAAATATTTAGTGTCAACTTATAACAGAGTTTATCAATCTTTCTTAAACCTTATCAAACCTTCTCAAACCTCGCGCGACAACCCATTATAAAGCTATATAACTATATAATGTACAATGTGCATGCACTGTGTGGGATTATGATAACATATTATTATATCATGGTGTGATTTTATTTTCGCATCTCTTTTTTTAAAAGCTACAAACATCTCTACAGACAAGATTAATGTGTTACTGGTTTGCATGAGAAATTATAACCCCCTCTTTCCCCCTCCCCCTCCGGCTAATATCTATGCTGGGCTTTGTCTGGATAAAACTTGAATTTAGTAATCATAAGTTTTCCGCCTGATAATCAAGGGTTTAAGCTTGATCTTCTGATCTTCAGTTTCTAAATAATACAACCGTTCAACTCCCTCCACCCTCCATAACAAAGAACCTTTTTTTACCCCTCTTGAGAAAATGAGAAAAAAGTATGAAATGCGCGAAATCCATTTCAGTAGAAACCCGTCTCATTAATTTCACTACTAAAATTATTTAAGACAAAACAAAAGTATGATATGTGCATGATTAATATCCAAAGATCAGAATTCAATTATTGTGAAAAACGCTCGTCATTCTAACGATATAAAAACCAGATATTTACGCCTATTCAAACTATTTTAATAAGAATATCTTTTATGTCATCTTTAATATCAATCCAAGTTTGTTCTTTTCACGTAAAAGCACATTCAGAACATCATGTAGCTGTATCGACATATTTTGAGTCATACTTGATAATCTTTATATCAAAATCTGTCAAAAATAACGTATAAAACTATAGTCATGTGATTTATTATTTGTTTTAAATAGACGTACGTACACCGACAAAACATTATAAAATACCAAATACAAATGCAGGGTTCCCAATTCAAGGACTTCTAGTTTACCGTGAAAGCTTTATCTGAAAAGTATGTAGTATATCAATGTTTATAATTTTAAAACTAATTACCTTAAATTGTGTTTTCTCTACAGAAGTGATTTCCGCGTTTTGACTGCATAAAAAAGGAAATAAAATCTTTTAATTCTAGAAAAACTTGAATATCTTCCACAATATTGATCAGATAAAGGTTACAGGGTTACTGTTGTGAATCGGGCATTGACATCTTTACATAAAGAGTATCACTAGAAATAAACACTTACAGTCCCTTTAACATGGATTAATATAAAGAACAAACTTGTTGTGTAAAGTATCTAATTTACCCAGGAGTGGAACTAACCTTAGAAAAAGATTAAGCAAAGGTTGAAATCTTGAATTCTCAAGATCTTCCTAGAAAATAAGTTTGTACTAATTTATAATACTAGAAATTCAAGGCGCTTCGCGCCCTTCTTTCTAGCCTTAGAGGGCGCTTCGCGCCCATCTTCTAAATTAATTGTAAACATGTTCTCTTTGTGTACATCGTAAAACTAAACAAAAATAATTCGCGGATTTTTACAAAAAAATTCGCGGATTTTCAAAATTTTAAAAAATTTAATGACGATCGAATTTTGATAGAGACAAATATTTGAAATTTTGATGATTCATAAACCTTCCCTGGGCTCCCTAGATGTCCCACAAAAAATTTGGGCCCGATCGGTTCAGCCGTTTTGACGTTTATTGGATACAAACAAACAAACAGACAAACAAACAGACAGACAAACAAGCCAAATTTATATATAGATTAAGCAGAATCCTGGGCGCTTTCAACCTTTTTCAAGGATCCTCACACTAATTGGAACTTTTTACACCATTATTCATTTTACAAATTAATGCTTGGGAAATAATAATTTTATATTAATTTTTTAACTGTCTCTCCTTAAAAAATAAAGCAAGAATGCATGGGATGGATGAAGTGGAACAAAGAGATAAGTTGGTAGGATGAGATGAGCTGGAAGGATGAGATGAGCTGGAAGGATGAGATGAACTGGAAGGATGAGATGAGCTGGAAGGATGAGATGAGCTGGAAGGATGAGATGAACTGGAAGGATGAGATGAGCTCGAAGGATGAGATGAGCTGGAAGGATGAGATGAGCTGGAAGGATGAGATGAACTGGAAGGATGAGATGAGCTGGAAGGATGAGATGAGCTGAAAGGATGAGCTGGAAGGATGAGATGAGCTGGAAGGATGAGATGAGCTGGAAGGATGAGATGAGCTGGAAGGATGAGATGAGCTGAGAGGATGAGATGAGCTGGAAAGATGAGATGAGCTGGAAGGATGAGATGAGCTGGATGGATGAGATGAGCTGGATGGATGAGATGAGTTGGAAGGATGAGATGAGCTGGAAGGATGAGATGAGCTGGAAGGATGAGATAAACTGGAAGGATGAAATGAGCTGGAAGGATGAGATGAGCTGGATGGATGAGATGAGCTGGATGGATGAGATGAGCTGGATGGATGAGATGAGCTGGAAGGATGAGATGAGCTGGAAGGATGAGATGAGCTGGAAGGATGAGATGAGCTGGATGGGTGAGATGAGCGCATAAGAACGTAAATTGTATCAACGTTGTTTGACAGTTGAGACGAACCATTCCCAGAGTTAACATCTCCTCGCGTTCAGAGAGTTCAGACAATAAATCAGATTTACAACAAATAAGAGGACTGGCAGTGAATTTTCATGAACGTTTTTCAGAATTCAATTCGCTAAATTATCCCTTTAGTTTATACTTTTTATCAAAACTTTCTGTTAAGATTTAGGTTTTGAAGTTTATATGTTTTTTTTATTGTAAATCAACTATTTATATATTTTTTAAACTTTGACTGACAACAACCTTCAATCAGTTTGCAAAATTATAAATTTCTGAAGTATTATTAAGAAGATAAAACAATTGTAAAAAAACGCAAGACCTTTTTTTGGCTTATTTATATAGGTTTGCTGCTTTTTTATACAGTTGATAATTTATTGTCCTAGTTCTTTTTAAGTATTTATTGGTTTATTGTTTACATTTGAATTTAAAAACTGGATAGAGTAGGGGGGGGGGGG